GCAGGCAGCTTTACCTGCAGCAATTGCATGTTGATTGCCCTCTTAAAAGACAAAGTCCAGCAACTGGAGGAACGTGTAGCTACGCTCCAAAGAATTAGAGAGCTGGAACTCTTCTTGGAAGCAACAGAGCACACCGTCTCCACCAAGGAAGAGACAGGGGACTCCCCTGAGAAGGTGGCTAGTTCACCAACACAGGAGCCAGATATATGGAGAAACGTGACTCAAAGAAGTAGGAGGCCCAGGGTTCGCTCTGATTGTTTAGAAATACGCAATCGCTTTGAGGTCCTTTCCCCTACCATGGAAGACGAAGAGCAGACTCCATTTGAGGATCTCTCCCTCATTACAGTCGATCAGGTATATGAAGACGAGCAGCAAAGGCAGTCCTCAGGGAATGTCCAGGCGACCTTGGAACGGACAGCTCACAGAAGAACCCCGACCAGACCTAAGAGGAGGCGTGTGGTGGTGATAGGGGATTCCCTACTGAGGGGAACAGAAGCAGTGATCTGTGGGCCTGACAAGATGTCTCGGGAAGTGTGCTGTCTCCCCGGGGCTAAGATCCAAGATGTAACTGAACGACTGCAAGGAATCATAAAACCCACTGACAAATACCCCTTCCTCTTGGTTCATGTGGGAACCAATGACACTGCAAGCAATAGCCTCCAGAAGATCAAAAGAGATTACGAGGCTCTGGGCAGGAAATTGAAGCAATTAAATGCACAAATTGTCATCTCATCTGTCCTCCCAGTTGAACGACGTGGCCCAGGGAGAGAGGGAAAAATAGTGGAAGTGAACAACTGGCTTCGCAAATGGTGTAAACAGGAACGGTTTGGATTCTTAGATCACGGAATGCAGTTTCTTGAAGATGGACTTCTGGCAAGCGATGGGCTGCACCTCACAACGGTTGGGAGGAATGTTTTTGCAAAAAATCTCAGAAACCTCATCAGGAGGGCTTTAAACTGACTAATGTGGGGGAGGGAGACAGTGCTCCTGAAGGTAGGAGTCTATCAATTGATGAAGATGATCATCCAAATGTCATAGACCGAATGGAGCAAAGAGCATGCAGACCTAGTGGTGGGAGGAAAAAATCCTTAAATAAGAGACACGGGGGAATGATTAATGGACTTCAATGTCTGTACACTAATGCACAAAGCATGGGAAATAAACAAGATGAGCTTGAGCTCCTGGTACAGCAAACTAAATATGACATAATGGGAATCACTGAAACCTGGTGGGATAAATCCCACGATTGGAATGTAATAATGGAGGGATACAATCTATTTCAAAGAAACAGACCAGACAAGAAAGGAGGAGGAGTGGCGTTATATGTCAGGGATGTGTATACCTGTGAAGAGATCCAAGATTTAGAACCTCAAAGCCAAAGTGAGAGCATTTGGGTGAAAATTAAGGGAGAGAAGAATAACAGTGACCTCATTGTGGGAGTTTACTATAGATCCCCAAGCCAAACGGAGGACATAGATGATGCCTTCCTGGAACAGATGGCCAAGCATGCAAAAGGAAGGAAGATAGTAGTAATGGGGGACTTCAATTACCCGGATATTTGTTGGATGTCAAACTCAGCCAAGAGCATACGGTCAAACAGATTCCTCACTGCCCTTGCAGACAACTTCATTGTCCAGAAAGTGGGAGAAGCAACAAGAGGAACAGCCATTTTAGATCTGGTCCTAACCAATGTTGATGACCTGGTTAGTGGGGTAGAAGTGAAAGGATCATTAGGCGCGAGTGATCATGCTCTTCTGAAGTTTACTATACAGCGGAAAGGAGCAGCCAAGCATACTAGGACTCAATTTCTCGACTTTAAGAAAGCCGACTTCATAAAGCTTAGGGAAGTGCTGGGTGAGATCCCATGGACAGTAATACTAAAAGGAAAGGGAGTTCAAGATGGCTGGGAGTTTGTTAAGAGGGAGATAGTAAAAGCACAACTTCAGGCAATACCAATGAGACGGAAACATGGAAGGTGCCTAAAGAAGCCAGGGTGGCTATCTAAAGAACTTTTAACTGAGTTAAGATTAAAAAAGAATGTGTACAAAAAATGGAAAAGGGGGGAAACCACCAAAGAGGAATTCAAACAAATAGCCAGCACGTGTAGACACAAAGTCAGAAAAGCTAAAGCACAAAATGAACTCAGGCTTGCTAGAGAGGTTAAAAGCAACAAAAAAGGCTTTTATGGGTATGTTCGTAGCAAAAGGAAGAACAAAGAAACCGTGGGGTCACTCAGAGGAGAAGATGGTGAAATGCAAACAGGGGACACAGAAAGGGCTGAACTCCTCAATGCTTTCTTTGCCTCAGTCTTCTCCGATAAAGAAAACAATGCCCGACCTGAAGAATTTGGAGCAAATGATTCAGCAGAGGAAACACAACCCAGAATAACTAAGGAGATAGTACAAGAATACTTGGCTAGTCTAGATGTATTCAAGTCTCCAGGGCCAGATGAACTGCATCCAAGAGTATTAAAAGAACTGGCAGATGTGATTTCAGAACCACTGGCAGTCATCTTTGAGAATTCCTGGAGAACAGGCGAAGTCCCGGCAGACTGGAGGAGGGCAAATGTTGTCCCTATTTTCAAAAAGGGGAAAAGAGAGGACCCAAATAATTACCGCCCAGTCAGTCTGACATCAATACCAGGGAAGATTCTGGAGCAGATCATTAAGCAAACAGTCTGTGAGCACCTAGAAAGGAATGCTGTGATCACCAATAGTCAGCATGGATTTCTGAAAAATAAGTCATGTCAGACTAACCTGATCTCGTTTTTTGACAGAATTACAAGCCTGGTAGATGAAGGGAACGCAGTGGATGTAGTCTACCTTGATTTCAGCAAGGCATTTGACAAGGTGCCCCATGATATTCTTGTAAAGAAGCTGGTAAAATGCGGTCTTGACTATGCTACCACTCAGTGGATTTGTAACTGGCTGACTGACCGAACCCAAAGGGTGCTCATCAATGGTTCCTCTTCATCCTGGAGAAGAGTGACTAGTGGGGTGCCACAGGGTTCTGTCTTGGGCCCGGTCTTATTCAACATCTTTATCAACGACTTGGATGATGGACTCAAGGGCATCCTGATCAAATTTGCAGATGACACCAAACTGGGAGGGGTGGCTAACACCCCAGAGGACAGGATCACACTTCAAAACGACCTTGACAGATTAGAGAACTGGGCCAAAACAAACAAGATGAATTTTAACAGGGAGAAATGTAAAGTATTGCACTTGGGCAAAAAAAAATGAGAGGCACAAATACAAGATGGGGGACACCTGGCTTGAGAGCAGTACATGTGAAAAGGATCTAGGAGTCTTGGTTGACCACAAACTTGACATGAGCCAACAATGTGACGCAGCAGCTAAAAAAGCCAATGCAATTCTGGGCCTCATCAATAGGAGTATAGCATCTAGATCAAGGGAAGTAATAGTGCCACTGTATTCTGCTCTGGTCAGACCTCACCTGGAGTACTGTGTCCAGTTCTGGGCACCACAGTTCAAGAAGGACACTGACAAACTGGAACGTGTCCAGAGGAGGGCAACCAAAATGGTGAAAGGCCTGGAAACGATGCCTTATGAGGAACGGCTAAGGGAGCTGGGCATGTTTAGCCTGGAGAAGAGGAGGTTAAGGGGTGATATGATAGCCATGTACAAATATATAAAAGGATGTCACATAGAGGAGGGAGAAAGGCTGTTTTCTGCTGCTCCAGAGAAGCGGACACGGAGCAATGGATCCAAACTACAAGAAAGAAGATTCCACCTAAACATTAGGAAGAACTTCCTGACAGTAAGAGCTGTTCGACAGTGGAATTTGCTGCCAAGGAGTGTGGTGGAGTCTCCTTCTTTGGAGGTCTTTAAGCAGAGGCTTGACAACCATATGTCAGGAGTGCTCTGATGGTGTTTCCTGCTTGGCAGGGGGTTGGACTCGATGGCCCTTGTGGTCTCTTCCAACTCTATGATTCTATGATTCTATGATTCTATGGTATGAATATTGAAAACACCAACTCTGAAAAATATACCATTATGAACAGAAATGTCTTCAAACAAAAATATTTGTAGAGAACTTTTATTATTTATTCATATTCAAACATTAGACTACTGTAATCTTTCATAAACATAATTCAGACATCTTTATGCTTCATCTTTGGTCATTTGGCACACATTGCAGATCTAGAACATTTCAGCTCTGTATCCTTACATCCCATAGTTTAAAATGATTCTATCTTCTCAGTGGGCTTCATTTTTCTGGTTAACATTAAAAATTCATTTTAACTGGGTATGAATTCCTAATTTCATGGTTGGCTTCATGGTTTGTATAAAATATTTTAATAAAAGTATCTCGATTTCAAATATTCTCCCTTAATATCTAACATGGCAAGATAGCCCTTCCTTCACTTCCATATGTAACATTTGTCAATAACCATTCTCCTGACTGCCCTGAGATCATTTACTAACAGTATACTAACAGTATAATCTGGTGTTATTAAAAGGAGTCGACTTTCCTTTCCCTTTATATTTTTACATATCTCTTTGGCAATGCAAGTGTCAAAATACATTGTATTAAAGCTTAACAATTTTAATGAATATTTACAGGGAACGCCCTGTTTTAAAAATTTGGAGGGAAACAGCTTACTTGTTCTTATAACACTAGTGGAATTCTGATTTTTTATGCCAATTTTTCCTTTGCTAAAATATATTGGCAAAATTCTCTAGAAATTAAAACCATTTCAAGTCTCAACAGCTTTTCTTTAAAATCTTGCAGCAGCATTCTTAAAAATACATCCCTTGACATTCTTATACATATAGATGTACACATAAACACACATACAAGTATTTTTGACATTCAGCACAGCTACGATCACATATAGAAAACACAATTGTAAAACAATGATCACACTGAAGATTTCCAATACAGTAATGCTCCCTTTGTATAAAACTGGACTGGGACTGGGCACTGCTTGAAAAGCTATGAGGAGGCACATGTTGAAGAGGAAATTTACAGTAAACTTCATGGCTGTAATCTCATAACTTGGTATGACAGTCTTTTAGAAAGGGGGACTTTGTGATTCGTAACAATATCAATGACAGCAAGTTAATGTAAAAAGTTGAAACAACCAAACTTTACTGAACACTGACAGACAGTTGTTTTTTTACAACACAGATCATTTTTTGAACACTACGTATACATAAGGCCTCTAACACTAAGGAAGCAGCATAGTTTTTCTTCACAGCAGAATATACTTGTCACTTATCAATATACTGGAAAAAGCACAACGTCTGTTAAGAGCACATCTGTATGCACCTTTAGTCAGTACAGTGTGCCTAATAGGACATAGATATACACTTGAAAAACAGGCGTGCTCAGGATTTCAATAAACTGCTTAAGCAGCAGCCTTGCTGAACCACAAGACTGATGTTATTTTAAAGTCACTAATGTAATTTTAAAATTGCAACTTAAAAAAGACAGAAATGAAAACAAGAACATCACAATAGGGATATTTACGAGTTCTCATTATGGCTTGCTAAAATGTATTCAATACCGTACAAGTGGTAATGATGAAGATACTAAGTTTTATGAGAACTGGCTTTTATATAGTGAATCCCAGTATTTTCTATTCTTAAAACTATGATCAGGTGAAATACTTATTGCACATACAGATAAATACTCCCTTTACCTAAATTAGTATGTCATTACTGAAAACATTTCCCTAAAAATCTTTGTAAAATACAGGTATATACTTGTTGTCTGCATTGTCATCTCCATATTGTAGTCACATAATGTGCACTAATAAATGAATAAATTTAACCATAAAGAAATCCTCAGTGGACCAGAAATTATAGGTTTGAAATATCAATTAATGTTTTTTTAATTAAAATATTTCATTTGTAGTTCAGAAAATGTTTTCCACACATGGGATGGAATCTAACAAAGTGTGAGGGACCTCCCTTTCCTCCTCTCCCCTCTGCAAATACTTGTTCACCAGAAATCCAGAGCAGATTGATTCATGGGGAAGGAGAGGAATGAGGAGTCCCAACGCATAAGCAGGAGTCACTTGTGCAAAGCCACCCATGATTTCCAAAGGAAAAGCAAATCCAACATACAGTACTTCTACTGCAGGGCAGACTGTACCACTGCTCTGATGTCACAACAAGAAAAAGTAGTAGAACCTATTTCACAGGGCAGTGCTCTCTCTATTCAGAATTAAGTCCTATTGAATTGAGTGCTGCTTACTCCCAAATAAGTTGGGGTAGGATTGCAGCCTCAGCTTGCTAAAAGGTCCATACACTTTGTTATTTGTTTTTACATTACAGTTCTTATAATGCATGTAGAATAAAATAACTCTGTTGACCATGATCATGCTCTTAAAAACGTGTTCCCTGATTAGGAGGGGTACAAGCTGGGGAACAGAGTGCTGCTTCCTGAACTTTCCCATTCAAATCTCATTGAATCCAATGAGGAAGCCACCCTATGAATAGATCAAATTATCACTTTAATTAATAACATGTAAAAAGTGACACACAAATTCTCTGTGAAAAAAGGCTTGGTACAGAGGCTTGGTTTGGTTTAAAGTGACAGGAGTGATGCAGCGCTTTTTTCCTGCATAGTTTCAGAAACCATTCTCAGCTATTTATGAAATATATATAATTAAGCTTAGCCTTCTGGAAAGGTATTTTGGTAACCATACATATGGCTGGCACAATAAATCCATGTTAGAAACCTGTAAACAAATTAATTTACATCAACTTAATGACATCAGAAAATGTTATTCCCCTACTTGAAAATTAATGCTTACATTCATTCTTTCATTCATTGAGTCTAGATTGCAAATCATCCATGATTTTAGATGAATAAGCTTCAAAGAGAGGTATAATTCAATACATTTCACACTGAGAATCACAGATACCTGCAGATTCATATAAGTGTATGTGAAAATAAATCTTCACTTCACACTCCCAGTGTGCAAAAATACTTGTTACATACATATCAACTCCTGGTTTTTTAAGTAGATTATATCAATGGAAATACAGATGCAACTATAAGTGTAGCAGAAAGATGCATACACTTTCCTGCTGTTTTTATATTCAGGTTGTTTAAACATTCAAAGCAGGATATTTAGTATAATTTACAGAACACTTCCTACAGTGTTTCACAACTCTGTATAGCAGTATCATTTTTTCCATTCCGTATTGTCCACATTTAGTTTTCAAGAGAGTGAAAAGAGTTTATATTTCAGATAGTGTAAGTGTAAACAAGGAACAGAGATCACCCAAAATATTCCTGTGAACTTTGTTTGGTGGTTAATATTCTGATGTTAACCGGTATTAATAATACCATCATAAAGCATTCTGCAGTTCTATCGCTAGTAATTATGTCTCTGATGAGTATACTGTGTGTGTGTGTGTGTGTGTGTGTGTGTATCTCTTCTGAAATTACAAAAATAAACTTTAGATTTAGATTACTATATTAAGGTGGAGAACCTCCAAAAATATAGTTCTCTATTTCTGCCTGGCATTTGTTATGTAACTTATAGAAGCTAAAGAGTGCAAAAGACGTTGTGAATCAGTTCTGTGCCTAGGAAGGTTCCAGTGATAATCTCTTGCTCTATTTTATGGTGTGCCCTGAGTCCACCTAGATCTGTCCAAAGCTGCAGCTTATTTTCTAAGATATATTGGCCCAATTTTACCAATAGGATACTAGATGTGTTCCACATGTTCATAAAGTGCTCCTTTACATACCTCTAGAAGAATAGGAAGACCAGAGGAAGATCTCTCATTCCTCTGGTGTACTACCTGCTGCTTCTCAAGTCAAACATGAGACTCATCCAGGTCAATATCAGTCTGTCCCACCTCAACCTGCGTGTAGCTGAACTGGCTGGAAAGTAGGGGGTTCTCTGTCCCATTGTCTTCACTAATGTGAAGGACAGTGTCTTCATGCTGCAGTAAGCTGGTGGTTTCAAGGCCTGCAAAATCATCAGTGTCAGAAAGTTCTGTGGGTGGAGGGGTACTGTGAGCTGGTGCTGGCTTTTGCTCCACATTCTCGTCCTTTTTTTTATCCTCAGAAGAAGCCGTCACATTCTGAAATGAAGAAAGGTTATTGCAGATAAACATTACCCTGCAACTATCCTTAAAACGGTCAAATTCCAATGGCTGCAATCCAACCCCCAGCCGCCCTCGTGGGTGGCAAGGCTGCACACACATCTGAAACCCTGCCACTTATGTTGCTGGCCAGGGTGAAAAGTGGGGCAGGCATATTGTGAGCTGACTCGGCAATAAGAGCTGGACCAGTCTTGATGCCATTGCTTGATGGCAGCAAGGACAGCTCAACCCCTCTCTGCACCTGGCATGCCCTGGTTTGGGGCTGCCACTTTGGGGGTCCTGCCACATTCAGTGAGCAAAACAGGTCACTCCATGCTGGAAGAGTGATGCTGGTGCCAACGGACCTTGACACCTCAAATTTCAGTGGGGCCCTGTGCAATGCCAAAATCCAGTATCCTGCTCCGCCTCTCACTTTCCATTGGACTTCATAGCTGTGGTGCCTGATGAGGCAGCCCAGGAGCACTGTGCCTGGTGCAACAGTACTGTGTTGATATTTTGCGCTTTGTGGACTTCCGGAGGCGGCGCGAAACAGCAATGGCGGTCCTCTTCAGGCTCTGAAGAGGGGCACCGCAGGAAAGGGTCGTCCGCTGCGGCACAGCGGAGACCCATTAAGATAAACCACGGGCAGAGTGAGCCCATGGCCGTGGGACTCGGCGGGCACCAGGAGCGACCCCAGAAACGGCGAAGGGACTCCGTAAGGAGCCCCGGAACGTGGAAGGGGGAGCGGTGCTGTGAGTTCATCGCTCTTTCTGCGGAGGCGAAGCCGCGCGGCTGCTGCTGACGAGCGCCGACCTTTCTTCCTGAAACATCTGGCTCCAAACAACTTACTCGTGAGTAAGGACTACAAAATTTTTGGAACTAAATTCTAAATTCGGCTGAAAACGGGAGACGAGAAACAGGAAGTCCGTCTTCCGATCTGGCTTACAAGATCAAAGCAAAGATTCCTGACAAGCGGGAAGCGTTTTAAATGAGGTAAAAAAGTTGGAGTTATCGTGCACTGATTGAATTGGATATTAAGTGAAAAGAAATGAACTGTTTTATATTGGTTTGAGCAATTTTGGAAGCTTCCTAAGAGTGAGGCTTTTAAGGGTTTTAAAAAACCCTGAAGTTACCAAATCTCCGATCTGCCGGGAGTATGAGAACTGTCAATTTGCAGAAATAGTAACACTAACTGAAACTGTTACTTTTGAGCACTGTGAATTGGATACAAATAAGGAAACTGTTTCTGGCACCTTTCTTGAAACTTTGTCTAATTTGGACTGAGCTCTATATATTAAAGAAGATATAGAACTTTTGTTAAATTTATGGGATTGCAGGAACTTTAATGGCGGAAAGTTTTCCTTCTTTCCTTTCTTCTTGGAAAAAACAGTGATACTCCCCCTAGAGGACTTTGGAGTTATAAATGTCTGGGAACTACATTTTATTTTGACTCTTTGTTTTGGATTGTTTACACTTTGGAATTGCTCTTCCCGTGGGACAAAGGACAATTTGACCTTGACATATAGGCAAGAGTGGAATGAGTGGCGCAGGCAGACCCAGAGAGGCTAAAACGAAAGCAAAGCAAACAGTAAGACTTGTTCAAACAACTCTGACTTCCCAACCTCGTAGATCATCTGTCCCAGCTGTGCTGGAAGCACAGGAGAAGGGAACAGGGCAGCCAAAACCAGAGGACATGGCAGCAGGAGGATCCACTGATGCAGTTTTAAAACAAATATTGGAACAACTGGCAATTTTAAACCAAAAGGTGGACGACCAATCAACTAAGATTGACCAATCTACAGCTAAAATAAGTCAACTGACTGATCAGGTTGCCCAACATACAGAAGCTATTGGGAATTTAGAAGGAGCAACAGCAGAAAATCGTCAGCTGGCTGCGGAAGCCAGTCAAAAAGCAGACCAAGCTATCAGGAAAGTTGAGGAAATTAAAGGGGAGGTGAAGCCTTTGCACAAACAAGTTGGTGAACAACAGGCCTACTTGGCTATGGTCAAATTGAAAAATCGGGAAAATAATCTTCGCCTGAGAGCCATTCCAGAACTAGAACAAGAAGATTTGATTAAGTACTTGACAACAGAATTCTCAAAGTTCTGGGGCATAAAAGAAGACGTGGACTTTAAGATTGTAACAGCATTCAGGTTGGGAAGAGTAGTAAGGAAGGACAGAGCCAGAGATTGCTTGATTGTCCTGAGAACCAAGGAGGAGAAAGAGAAGATACTAGGCCTACATTTTAAGAATTCACTTGTTATTCAGGACAAAAGAGCAGAAATTTACAGAGATATACCGAAACAGTTATTGGATCTTAGAGCTACATATTCAGAACTAGCAAAATTGTTGAGAGGCAACTCAATTCCTTATAGGTGGGAGTTCCCTCAAGGATTATCTTTCAACTTCAAAGAAAAGAAGGTTAAAATTAAAACAGTAGAAGACCAGCAAAAGTTCTTGCACGACCACGGTGAGGATCTCCAAAAGGGAGTAGTGGCATCTTGGCCACCACCACCACCAGGACCAGAACCGAAGCCGGCACCCTCGGGATCAGAGGAAAAAGAAGAGACGCCACAAACAGGATAATCAAATTAACCCAAGATGTCTCTGCAGCTATTAAGTTGGAACATAAACGGTGGAAATTCCCCGGAAAAAAGAAGAAGAATCTTTCATATTTTGAAAAAAGAACAATTGGACATTATATGTTTGCAAGAAACTCATGTGACTAGGCTCCACAGGAAAGTGCTTATAAACAAAAGACTAGGCCAAGAATTTATTTCATCGGACAGAGTCAAGAAAAGAGGAGTTGTGATCTATGCAAAGGAGAGCCTGTCACCAAAATTCTTATTCAAAGATGAACAGGGAAGAATTTTGGCGATTGAAATACAATCACAAGGAGAAAAATTTTTGATATTAGGAATTTACGCACCAAATGAAGGGAAATCTGAATTTTACATGAAGCTGCATGAGATTATGTTGGATTACATGGACTATGCTAACATCATTATGATGGGAGACATGAATGGCGTGGTATCTACAAACATGGATAAGTCATCAAACCAAAATTTGACAAAAGACGGCAGACTGCCTAAAACTTTCTTTGAACTAACTGACAATATGGATTTGATTGACATATGGAGGACAAAGAACCCACTAGGTAAAGAGGGAACTTTCTTTTCTGAGGCCCATTTGTCATGGACAAGAATAGACCAAATTTGGACAACTAGAGGGCTGGCACCTAAGACTAGAAAGGTGGAAATCTGCCCAAAAACCTGCTCCGACCATAACGCTTTGAAAATGGAATTGAGACTTACTCCAACCGGTTCCTTCAGATGGAAAATGAATGACACCCTCTTAAGAGATCAGGAGATCGTGAAGAAGGCCCAAAAAACCTTAAAAGACTACTTTGAAATAAACTTGAACACCACGGTGGAAAAGAGAACAATCTGGGACGCAAGTAAAGCAGTTATGAGAGGGTTTCTGATACAACAGAACACGATTAAGAAAAGACAGTGGAATGAAAAAAAGGATAAAATTTTAGAGAAAATAAGAGACGGCGAGAAAAAGCTGAGAAGCAAACCAAAGTCGAAGGAGGTGCTGAGAGAAATCAAATTCCATCAAGCACAATATTCGAAATTGATAAATCAAGAGATTGAATGGAAAATTAAACAAATGAAGCAAAGATCATTTGAATCAGCGAACAAGTGTGGAAAACTGCTAGCATGGCAGTTGAAAAAGAGACAAAAACTTAATACAGTTACAAGTCTCGAGATTGAAGGGAGAATTGTTCAGAAACCGGAGGAAATTAGAAAGTGTTTCCAGAGATACTTTAAAGAACTTTATACACAGGGGCCACAGGAAGAGATTGAGATAGACCAATTTTTAAAAACTAATGGACTATCAAAATTAACTCAAGAGAAGAGAACAATCCTGAATTGTAAGATAACGGAACAGGAAATCGAGGGTGCCATTCAGAATATGCAACTGGGCAAATCTCCAGGCCCTGATGGACTTACCTCCAAATACTATAAGACTTTAAAAGACTACTTGATACATCCTTTAATGGAGGTTTGTAATCAGATTATGGAGGGGAAGAAGGCACCGGAAACGTGGAAAGAAGCTTTTATCACATTGATTCCTAAACTGGAAACTGAAAAGACTCAACTTAAGAACTACCGTCCCATCTCACTCCTAAATGTGGATTACAAAATTGTTGCAGACATTCTGGCAAGTAGACTTAAAAAAGTACTTAATGAGGTAATTCACAAGGACCAGGCAGGCTTTCTCCCAGGTAGACATTTGTTTGATAACACTAGGAACATTGTTGATATTTTGGAACTTCTACAAGCAAATATCAACACTAGAGCAGTGTTAATCTTTATCGACGCGGAGAAGGCCTTTGACAACATTTCTTGGATGTTTATGAAGAAAAATCTGGAAGGGATGGGAGTGGGACGGGGGTTTGAAAATGGAATAGAAGCAATCTATTCAGAGCAAAAGGCTAAACTGATAGTGAACAATGTGGTAACAGATGAGTTCAAAATTGAAAAAGGGACACGACAGGGGTGCCCCCTATCCCCTCTTTTATTTATCTCAGTCCTGGAGGTGCTCCTGAACATGATCAGGGAGGACCGGTTGGTGCAAGGAATAGAGGTCGGAGTGAAACAATATAAATTGAAAGCTTTCGCAGATGATCTGGTTTTAACATTACAGGAGCCAGAGTCTAGTACAAAAAGAGCTTTAGAATTGATACACGAGTTTGGTCGGGTGGCGGGTTTCAAACTGAATAAGCAAAAAACTAAGGTTTTGGCAAAAAATTTGTCAGCATCAGAAACAGATGAGTTTCAGAAGGAGACAGAATTAAATGTGGTTAAAAAAGTGAAATACCTAGGGGTTCATTTGTCTGCTAGAAATTTGAATTTATTTAAAGACAACTACGAAAAATGCTGGACAGAAATTAAAAAAGATCTAGAAATTTGGTCAAGATTGAAACTTTCCTTGTTGGGTCGAATTGCAGCTATAAAAATGAATGTATTGCCTAAAATGTTATTTTTGTTCCAGGCCCTACAGATCGTGGACAGAGTGGTATGCTTTGGGAAGTGGCAGAAGGATATCTCTAAGTTTGTTTGGCAGGGCAAAAAGCCCCGAATAAAGTTTAAAATACTAACTGATTCAAAGGAAAGAGGGGGGTTTGCCCTGCCAGATTTAAGGTTGTACTATGAAGCTGCAGCCTTCTGCTGGATGAAAGATTGGTTACTTCTCGAGAATACTGATGTCCTAGATCTGGAAGGGTTTGACAACGCTTTTGGTTGGCATGCATATCTGTGGTACGACAAGGTAAAAATTCACAAGCTTTTCAAAAACCATATTGTCAGAAGATCATTATTTATGGTCTGGACAAAATACAAAGACTTATTAGAAGACAAGACCCCGAGGTGGCTATCACCTATGGAGGCCAAGGCCAAAAAAAGACCCAATATGGAGGCCAGTTGGCCGAAATATTGGGAGATAATAGAAAAAATTGGAGACAGTTGGAAGTTGAAGAGCTTGGAGAAATTAAAAAACAAGGTGCGAGATTGGTTACACTATGCTCAAATCCAAGAGGTTTTTAAATTGGACAAAAAAATAGGGTTCCAGGTGGAAAAATCGAAACTAGAGACAGAACTGTTAGAACCAAAGACTAAGGTACTTTCGAGAATGTACAACTTGCTGCTTAAATGGAATACACAAGACGAGACAGTTAAATCTGCCATGATAAAATGGGCACAGGATATTGGGCATAACATCATGTTTGAGGACTGGGAAAGGTTATGGACCACCGGAATGAAATTCACGGCATGTAATGCCTTGAAGGAAAACATTATGAAAATGATATACTGGTGGTACATGACCCCAGTCAAGCTTGCTAAGATATATCACCTGTCTGATAATAAATGCTGGAAATGTAAGGTGGCTGAAGGGACCTTTTTTCACCTCTGGTGGACATGCCCGAAAGTGAAGGCCTTCTGGGAAGTGATTTACAATGAGTTAAAAAAGGTATTTAGGTATACCTTTCCGAAGAAACCAGAGGCCTTCCTCCTGGGCATTGTCGACCAGAAAGTGTTAAAGAAGGATAAAACTTTGTTTATGTATGCAACCACAGCAGCAAGAATTCTTATAGCAAAGTATTGGAAGACACAAGATTTACCCACACTGGAGGAGTGGCAGATGCAATTGATGGACTATTTCGAACTGGCTGAAATGACCGGCAGAATCCGAGATTTGGGAGAAGAGACAATGGAAGAGGACACCACAGTTCAAGAAGGACACTGACAAACTCGAACGTGTCCAGAGGAGGGCAACCAAAATGGTCAAAGGCCTGGAAACGATGCCTTATGAGGAACGGCTAAGGGAGCTGGGCATGTTTAGCCTGGAGAAGAGGAGGTTACGGGGTGATATGATAGCCATGTACAAATATATAAAAGGATGTCACATAGAGGAGGGAGAAAGGCTGTTTTCTGCTGCTCCAGAGAAGCGGACACGGAGCAATGGATCCAAACTACAAGAAAGAAGATTCCACCTAAACATTAGGAAGAACTTCCTGACAGTAAGAGCTGTTCGACAGTGGAATTTGCTGCCAAGGAGTGTGGTGGAGTCTCCTTCTTTGGAGGTCTTTAAGCAGAGGCTTGACAACCATATGTCAGGAGTGCTCTGATGGTGTTTCCTGCTTGGCAGGGGGTTGGACTCGATGGCCCTTGTGGTCTCTTCCAACTCTATGATTCTATGATTCTATGATTCTAGGACTGGAAAAAATTTAAGGACTATTTGCAGAAACATAAACTGTATGAATGTTAAAAATGTGCAGGATTTGGAAATTATAGCTTCAGCAAACTGATTTACTGAATTAGAAATTAAGTTATAAGTAAGATAAGGTGGAAATTTGAAATAACTTTATTATGCTTATTTTAAGGTATAAGTAATGGAGAATTAACATTTTGAACTTAGAAACATAATATTTGAAAGATACAGTAAGGTACGAAATAAGGTAACAAATTGCTGACGTTTTTACTGCAAAGAACGCTGGGTTCGGAGGATGTGGGGAAGTCCAGCTGGTTTTATAAGAACTATTTGAAAAACTGAACTTTATTATTTTTTATTTTTTATTTTTATTTTCTTCTTCTATGTTTATAAATGTTTTTAACGTGGAATATATATGTGAAAACCCAATACAAAATTTATTAAAAAAAAAAAAGATATTTTGCGCTTTGTGTCCTGGACTGTATGGATTTCTGTGGGATTATTAGACATTTTGTAGGCACTGTAATGTCACTTTTGTAAGTCGTTTTAGAAATACAAGAGACTGGGGAATTAACATTTGAGAGATTCCCATGCATTACTGTAACTAGATAAATAATAAAATATATATTTATGGAAATATATTCAAATATGTGCACAAAGAGAGGAAAGGCATAAGGGAACAGAAAAAACAGAAGACTATCTTAAGATACAATGAGAAAATAAATAGCAAACGTATGCAGAGTAGGGGTAGGCAAATATGTCAATCTCAGTTTCTCCCAGTTTATAATTTTTCCAGTATGATGTTCAGTTTTCCATATTTCTATATCAGTTTGCATTTTTTTTAAAGTCCTCATGAAAATTTGCCAGCATCTTTGTGCCAATTTCTCCTCCTACATACATTTATATGAAATTTTGCCTAATATACACATTTTTGCAAAGCAGTTTCCCCTAAGCTAATGCATTTATGTATTGTCCAGTCACAAATATGCATTTATATGCACACTTCGCCATTGTATATGCATTTTTGTACAAATACACATTATTTGGCTGGAGAATTGAATTGCAAGATTCAGGTAGTGTGAATTTCAAAGGACAGCCGTGTTTCAGTTTGCATAGTATTTCAGAAAATGTAAATTTGGTAAGTAAGCCTTTAAATGCAAATTGAATCAAATTTTCCACCATCCCTAATGGGAACAGAAGAATAAACTGTGACAAGCAAGCAAACACACTTTCCCCAGTAGATTACCTGACTGGAGGAGACTTGACTATGGAGATCTGCCACAGTAACAGCAGGTGAGGGAGGCAGAGTGGATCTGTTTGCAGCTTCCTGCTTGCTCCCGTCTGAAGGGCTGCTCTTTTTGCTGCTTTGCTGCTGGGCTGCAATTGGTGCTGGATCCGGCTTTGATGTCAATGCCTCGGATTTAGCTTCAGTGAAGGTTACAGATCGTTTTTGATCAACTGCAGAATTAGACCATAAGCAGCAGTGGATGTACCACCACACGCATTTGAAAATGAATTCTGGAACCATTTCATGGCCTGAATGCCTACCTTCTGCCTAGGGATGGATGAACCAGACTGACCTGTCCTGGTTCCATAAATGGATGTTTTATGGATATGCTTTATCCCACCCTGTTCCAGATGAGATTTTTTAAAGGGTATTTCCAGGGAAATCCTTTTAAAAAAAAACCTGAATAAAAACACTCACGAAAAGACACATGAAAATGAGGAGTGCTTACAAGGTGAACTGAAAGATTATTCTCCAGGTGGCGCAACAGGAGATAGATTAGATGATAGATAGATAGATAGATGATAGATAGATAGATAGATAGATAGATAGACAGACAGACAGACAAACGATAGATAGATAGATGATAGATAGATAGATAGATAGATAGATAGATAGATAGATAGATAGATAGATAGATATAGATAGATGATAGATAGATGATAGATAGATAGATAGATAGATGATAGATAGAGATAGATATATATATATAAATATATAGCTATATATTTATATATCTCTATCTCTATCTCTATCTCTATCTCTATCTCTATCTCTATCTCTATCTCTATCTCTATCTCTATGTCTGGCTGTCTATCTATTAGTATAGTGCCTTTAAGGAAATTATGTGCAGTTGCTTCTTGCACCGTTTAAAAAGTGTTTTGACTTGGTACAGCAGAGGTACTGCACTTTGAAGCTGGTCAACACAACTTTAGTGTTAAGAAAAGAGAAAGAGCAATCCCTCAGTTCCCCTCAATACAACGATTAAACTGGCCATTGGAAAAGTTCGTCAATCTGCAGACTAAACCACAATTCTGAGACTTGCCCTATGGAATGAATGAGGTGGTGTTCACACCAAAATCTAGCCTGAATTGAAATCCTCTGACATGCCTATTTCCAGCCCCTTGTTTTCAATCAGTAAATCAATCAATTTATTTTTATGTCATCTTTTCATGGAACAGGCCAAGGTGGCTCACAACAAATCAAAATAAAATAATACATAATTTGATAATCAGTACAGTAGCACACAGGAAAAAACATCATCATGCTTTGTTCCTGCTCCAGAATGAAAATCCCCAATACAGATAAAAAAACCCCCAATAAATACAGATAGGAAACAATAAATTAGCATCCGGATCCTAAACAAGTTTATTGCAAGTAATTATACAATCTATGTTAATAGAGATAACTTTCACGATAGGAGGAGGAACTTAGGTTACAACTGACCCCCACATAAATTGCAGAGAATTTCCCTGCCTTTCCTTCAAAGTGTATCACCGAACCACAACATGAATGGAGAGAAATAGTTGGCCAACACTGCCCACCTTTAGATGGCAGTTTGGGATAATGGAATGGGAATTTCAAGATGGCGAACGGCATTTAGTCAGCGTGAGTGCGAGCTCCCTGATTTATCTTTTAAGATTGTTTTAATGAGTATAGAAACCTATTAACTTTTAACTTTAGTTTTTAGTTTTTTAGTTTTAGTTTTAAATTAGTAAGTAGGAGGACGCCTCTTTCTATCGGGGAGACAACCATTGACCTTGAAACTGGGGCGGCTGCATGAAGAGAGAAATGACTAAGCAATTATACAGCCCTGCTTGTGGGAGAGGAACTGGGAAACGTACCAGAGATTCCAGAGATTTAGACGACACAGAGGAACTGAGATGCCTGCCTCTTGCTAAACAAACAAAAATTAGTGAATCTGAAAGTACAAAGGATATTTTTAATATTCCGGTTTCAAACTCTTTCACACTGCTAGCAGAGATGAATGACGAGGAAACCATTGTGAAAGAACCTTTTGATAACCTGCCTACTAAACCTTCAAGCAATAATAATACTGGTATCCACTCGAATGACTGCACTAGAGCCTGTGAAAGCTGCATTGATGAGATACTATTTGAACACTCGACTACTAGACCTAGTTGCTAAAACGGTGGACTATATCTTTAAATACATAAAAGACATCCGAGGATCCTTGGAGAAGATTATTTCGCTTATATCCCTAACAGGTAAAGACAGTTCCCCTGATGTACCACCTGAGATGAAGCCCATACAAATGCCCAGAGCACCCGTTTTACCTCATACCTCCTGTATAATTCCTCAAGCTGCTGGCAATCAGAAAAGTGAGCAAAGTGAGCAAAATAAGAAGGAACAACACTTTGCACCTCCTCACAAACTGCTGCTGCAAGCTACCAAAATCTGCCTAACGGTTTGCCCCTTTAGAGGCAAGGTGATAAACTGGCATTATAAGAGTGATATAAGGAGACACCTAGTGGAGCTTCTGAGGATAATCCCTAGCTCTATTGACCTGAAGCATACTGACCATATTAGCAGCAGACCTCAGAGGCAGAGAGTGCTGCTCTCCTTTAAAACCAAAAAGCTCCCTGCACTTATTATGTCCTCAAGAAGCCTTCTATTTAACTATGGAATCCTTGCTACAAGAGTCTTTACCAATACCAAGATCTGCCCCCTCTTACCAAACTGCTTGTTCAAAAAGAAAGCAGACAAGTCGGAGGGTCCGCCAATTGCCACGACCCCAACTCCCCTGGCCGCAGATCTAATCAGCTGGATTGACGCCCCCCTGCCTCCACTGACAAAGGCTATACATCTGGAGAATTCTACGGAGCGTGAGTTACTTCTATCCTTCTCCCAATTGCCAAAACTGGAGCGAACAGAGATAACGGACAGATTGGACGAGCTGCTACTCTGTCTCCGTAACTCAGAAGATCATGCTCATGTAAATAAGATGAATTCCTCACCAATTGTAGATCAGTCTACACAAGCCCAAGTGGTACCTGTTTTAACGACCTTTGATCTGCAACCTGGCTGTACACGGCCTCGGGATGTCAAGCCCGGGCAGGATACAGTGGAAGATTCGACAACCCTCTGGTCAAACTCGGAAGCTGTGGCAAGACTGAATGCTCTTTTGGAGGCAAACCAAAAAGGATGCCTTCCACCTGCCTTACACTGCATGTTCCCTACAGCAACCGCAGATCCAAAAGGCCCACCCCCCTCAATCTTAGAGCATACTTTAAATGCAGAGTCTATGGACCTGTCGTTAAGTGATACTCCCGTGCTCCAGAATCCATCCCTGCAGCTACCAATAATTAAGCCACAATCCATGGCTGCTGCTGCAGTAAGTGGTGCTCGGAAATTGCCTGGTAAGCAAGCTACAATTACTTCCTTCTTCCAGCCTATTGCCCCCCCCCTCGCCGCATGCATTCCCAGGTGGATTCTGCCGTGCTGGTTCCGCAAGGCCCAGCATGACTCGAAGGGGTGACCAGGAGATTACTTACTTTCTTATCCTGGAATGTAGCTGGCATTAAACCTAAGCTGATGGATCCATCCTTTGTCGCCTACATAAAAGGCAGTCGTATTCTTTTGCTGCAAGAGACCTGGGCTTGTGAGGGCTTCTCCTTATCAGGGTATAAGGGCTTCTACCTGAATGCACAACAGAATTCACTATCACCTGGCAGACCACAAGGTGGGTTGGCTACCTTAGTTTCTTTGGCCTTAAATCTGCAGGTGGAACAAATCGACATCCAGTCGTCATCCATGCTGGGTGTAAAGCTACAAACAGCGGAGGAAGTGTTTGTGGTGATTAATGTTTATTTGCACCCAACCTATAAGAAAAACCTGGTGGACCAAAGATGGAGGGGAATTCAACTGACTCTTGAAACTCTCCTAGAGAAATATCCTGAAGCCACCTTCCTAGTTGCAGGAGATTTCAGCGGCCGATTGTCTCACTCTGATAAATCATTATTTGCTAAATATAATAAATATCCCTCACTACCCATTTTAACCTCAGACCTTTTACCCAGGAACTTTAAAGACAGTGTTGCTACATACGCAGGTTTTAAATGTAGACAAACTTTGATGGCTCTTAATTTTCACCTCTAAACGGAGCTCTCAGTTCTGATTACCCTGCCGAATTTACTTTCTGGTCAGGCTCCCGAGCCTCTACCATAGACTTTATTTGGACACCAGTAGACCTAATTCCCAAAATTTCCAACTTTAGGGTGGTAACGAGGCTGGAAAGTGACCATTTTCCATTAGAACTCTCTCTGACCCTGGATGGAGAATTGGCTACCTATTCCTGTGTGCCTATTACAAATGAGATGAGGCCCACTGCCTTAAAATGGACCGACAATATGGCTCAACGGATAAATGAACTCCTTTGGTCTGACCAACTGCAAGAGACAAGGAACTCCCTTATCCAGGCAGTTGAGCCACTGCCAATATTTGACAATTTAGTAGAACTGCTAAAACCTTCGTTGGCTAAGACCCCAGTAATGAATAGTAACCATTTCTCTCATAAAAAGTGGTTTGACGAGGAATGTAGACACTTCAAGAACAACCTATATAATGAATTCTTGGCATATAGGGCATCAAATGACCCCGCACCTAGCAGTCACCTTATGAACCTCAAGAGAAGGTATAAAGCACTATTAAAGGAAAAGAAGCTTGCGGCAGAAAGAAATGATTGAAAGAACCTTCTAAAAGCTGCAGAAAATAGAAATCCCTCCTCCTTTTGGCACCAAATTTATCAATACCTGGGTAGACCGTTGTCAAGGATAGAACCTCAAATTTCAGCTGACACCTGGGAAAGCTTCTTCTCCGATTTATATGCAGCTCACGCTGCCAGCAGAGGAAGGTTAGATTTGGCCCCCTTGCCTGAGTGGGATCCTGTTACCTGCTCTGAAGTGGAAACACTTATAGGCCAATTTGAGGCGGGCAAGGCACCCGGAGACGATCTTATTTCCATAGATGTTATTAAAGCCAATAAGGATTGGTGGTGTCCACCCCTAGCAGCTCTTTTTACTTATATAAACAAAACAGCACAATTTCCTCCAAGCTGGAACTCTGCACTGATTGTGTTAATTCACAAGAAAGGGCCGCGCACAGACCCGGCCAATTTTAGACCAATTAGCCTGCTAAATGTTATCGGGAAGATGTATTCAAGATTTCTACTTAACAAATTAACAACCTGGATGGAAAGCAACAATATCATCGCAGAGGAACAGGCGGGTTTCCACCCCGGAAGATCAACAACAGACCAAATCTTAATCCTAAATCACTTGGCCACCAAGTACGCTGGCAGTGGCCTAAAAGCCCTCCACGTCGCCTTTATAGACTTTAAGCAGGCCTTTGATCTAATTCCCAGGAACCAGCTATGGACAAAATTGGCAACGACATCTATTGACCGCCGCCTTCTCCTGCTGATTATTAATTTGCATACAAATACCCTAATGAGGATTAGGCTAGATAGTAAGGGGCTAGTCTCCAATCCGGTTGCCACCACTAGGGGGGTAAGACAGGGCTGTTTACTTGCCCCTGCTCTGTTTAATTTCTATATTAATTCGCTAGTGGTGCATATGGCAAATGCTGATTTCCATCCACCAAAACTGGCAGGACGAGCCTTGAATGTCCTACTGTATGCGGACGATGCCGCCCTATTAGCTACCTCCCCCATCGGATTAAGGAGGATGCTTCGAGCTCTTCATGAATATGAGACCCAACACGAGCTCCAACTAAATTATGCCAAGACCAAAATAATGGTCTTTGCTGCTCGACTGAAACCTAATTTATGGTCAATTAATGGTATCCCTTTAGAGCAGGTCAGCTGCTTCAAATACCTGGGTCAGGTTGTAAGATCAAATAGGTCCTTCTTGGCGCACAGAGAATACATAGCCTCGAACGCATCCAAAGCAGCCTTGGTGATTAGAACCCTGTACTCCAAGAAATAGGCACAAACTGTCAAAGTTGCCTTGCGACTCTTTAAAATGAAAGTCCTCCCTCTTTTGCTGGTGGGCATTGCCTTGGGCTCACGTAGGGACTTTGAAAAATTGGAATCTATCCAAACCCAATTCCTCAGGGCCATACTCAGGATCCCCCCCTCCGTGGCAGGCGCGATCATGAGATTGGAAACCGGTTGTCAAGCCTTTAGGTATGTGGCCCTGAAAGCGAAGTTATGGCTATGGCTCAAGCTCTGTTTCAGACCGGTGGGTTTGGCCCCCTTGATTCTGAGGGATAACTTTAAATCTCCATGGGAAGGGGAGATAGTGGAGGAAGTGCAGAAGTGCGGGTTGTCCTCCCTTTATATAGAGTCCATGACGTATAGCCACGCAAAGGCGGTGATCGCTCAAAGATTAAGGGATATTGCCAGACAGGAGGACATAGCCCGTGTGAAACCTGGGTTGTTTCTGGGGGAGCAGTTGTATCGGGCTGCTCCAGCTCGCTACCTGGCGGATATCCACTACGTGGAATACCGCAGACTATTTACTGCGGCTAGGCTGAATGTTCTTGACTCGGCGGTTCTGAAGGGAAGATATGGAGGAGTCCCATATGACCAGAGATTATGCCACTGTGCATTGGGTGAGGTAGAATCCACAGAGCACATTTTACTGAGCTGTCCCATCTACAACGATTTAAGACAGTATCTTATAACTCCATACTTACCCCAGCTCAGTTCCCGACAAAGAGGAAAGCAGACAGCATATCTGCTAAATAAGTCTTCTGGGAAAACAACTTTGTCAGTGGCTAAATTCCTTTTCCTGGCACTCAAGTGTCGGAAACGTATAACTGAATGCTTTGATGTGGGTTATCTGTGAGAGGTCTAGTACTGTGGCCCTACCTTATTTATGTACCCCTATGTTATAGTTTATAATTATTGTGTAATGTTTTATTTCTGACTATCGGTCGAATAAAGGAAATTGATTGATTGATTGATGGCAGTTTGGATTTCTGGACCTACAGCAGCAATGCCATTCCATCTCCACAATGAGCACAGCAAACATTATCCCATCTTTTATAAGACATGATCTTATGTTGAATCATATTCTTAAGCTCCACATTTACTCCACACAGGCACACAAGTGGTTGTGTACCTGGATCATTTTCTGATACAGGTGGAAACTACCATTTTGTTTTTGAGAGGAAGGAGAAGGTAGTAGAGTTTTGGGTGAGCACATAGCTCTGCACCTGGGAGAGTGCTCAAAATCTGCTTTTGAGGGTTGGAGGACTCTTCAGCAGATTTTATGGGTGCGCAGCAGGCAGTGAGGAAGCTAGCACCCTGTTACATGTGCAGAGGTTCACTAGCTCACCACTGTTTCCTCACCAGGAGCTTTAAAAAATGAAACCACAGCATTGGAAAAATGTTTCCTTACCAGTTGGTTTTGCTTTGGGCTGTATGCTTCTACGTGTGGTAGAAAGACGTGCACCATGACGGCTGCGAGGTTCCGTCTGTGTTTTCTGACGTGATAAAAGAGGCCTTCTTAGCTGGAAACCATTGAAGGAACAAAGTTAGAAATACAATAATATGGTTCTGCAATACATCTCACTTGACAGTAAGCCTGCAACATATGTGGGAGTTATGTTCTGCGGATTGTGCCTAAAGAGCTTAAATCACATATCGTCGAAACCTTTTAGGTTCGATGGCAAGTGGGATTGCCAAAGTCACACCCCTTTTATTTATTATTAATTTTTTGCCGTGCACATAAAGCTGAATGCTCACAAGTTAAATGTGAGCTACTGTATAGCCCTATTTTTTTCAGTAGATACATTTATTTTGTTTTCACTATTTGATCTAACAAGGCAGGTGAACAAAATTGTACCTTTTAGAATTTTACTTGATAATATGAGAACAAGGGAGACACTATTTAATATGGTCTTGTTATTGCTATGACAGATTAGATAATCTCTCACCATGTCCTGCGTTTTTTAAAAAAGTGTCTGAGATTTTTAATGCAGATAATGAAAATGAAATGCAGTGATTAAACATGTGCTCCTAAGGGCTGTACACTCCTCCTTGTTGTCTTGTTGGAACAATGCAATCTCTACACAGAAACAGGCATACATCACAATCAGTTTCATAAACCCAATGCTTAACATTGATATGGTCTACTTCATTTTCAAGCAAATTCTACTGAACAAAATGTAATCAATTATTTCATCCAATAGGCTACCAACGTATTATGAACTTACCTGCCTCAAGCCTCTTTTTCTCCCTAATGGTTGCTGTAGAAGAAGATTGTGGTGTCCAGGTTCACTCTGCACGCTTGCTACCCTGTTAAGTGTTAAAAGCATTATCACTACTGTAGAAGAACATATACAAGAGACTTGTTTTGTTGCAGACGTTGCTAAACATATTGATAAAATCGCTTCCAAGATCACATCACCTCTGAAGGTAACGGGAGAGTATCTGTTAGGTTTGGAATTAGGAAATGAAGAGTACTAGGATAAAAAGAGTAATGACATTCAAGAGTAGGCCATATATTGGAAAGTATCAGTCTCGCAAACTGAACTCAAAATCATGCAGTAATACATCCAATGGCCATTCTGCTCTCCATGCCATGAAGGATGAAGGCAAGTCAATAAAAGGATGTCATTTTATGATCCTAATGTCTTTTTTTGTTTGTTTTTTTGCAGACACTAGGCAACAGTTGGAAACACACATTTTCCTTCCTGTTAGATTTTTAATTTACCCCTTAATCATTTATAATTTTAGTTCAGAAGGTGAATGATGAACACAGTTGACAAAGTATTAATTCATGTCATGGGCACAAGACTTAATGGAAAAAGTTATCACATTGAACACATACTTGCAGGCTCAAGTTTCTTTGTGGATAGTATCTGAAGAAGTGTGCATGCACACGAAAGCTTATACCAAGAACTAACTTAGTTGGTCTTTAAGGTGCTACAGGAAGGATTTTTTTATTTTTATTTTGTGGATAGTGATTAACATAAGCACTAGTCCTAGAAAAAGCATGATCATGGGCTTCAAAAAATGAATTTAACAGACTCAACAGAAAGCAAATTTTCTGAATTGAGAACAAACATAGTTCCATAATTAAGCAGGCACAAAACCCTACTGCAGCACTCATCTGCAAACTAGAACAATGTCTCCCCGTCTGTTTCCATTACTTTATAGTATAAAGTTTATACCATCCAATAAGAACTGTTCATATAACAGGGAATGCCTGCCAGTATTCTAGTTGAAAGAACAGCAATATGAAGACAATTTCAGTAGTAGATAGTACTTTGCTATTGTCTGATTACAGTACATTTTAATTCTGTCCCTTATACATCTCCTTAACAAGCCTTGGCATGCATTATTCAGTATTTGACTTTGAAATAGATTTTGCTGATGTCTGGACTGAAAAAGGCTCCCCACCCCCATCTTCCCTAACTTTGATGGATACTTATGGTTCTTGTTTATTGCAGCTTAAGAAATTGAACCAAATAAAGCAACATTTATAAGATATCAAAATTCTAATGGTCTTGGAGCACATGAGCAACAATAGTGCTCTTGATCTTACACCAGAGGAAGAATTAATGCTTCGTATTTATGTGGTGTATATGTTCTTTGGTCTATCTCTCACCTAGTGCTGGGCAGAAGTCTTCAGTCCAATGGTTTTTGCAAGCTGGGGCATGGGGTGGAGAGATGCTCTTTGAAAATTAATTAATCTTGGGGGAGGGTTTGGAATTTTCAGAGAAGAATCTTACATATAGAGTGGCTGACCCTTCCAAAATGGTCAAAGGGAATCTCTTTTGCCAAGTTGAAATGTAAGGGTTTAATACAGGGTTGTAACTAAGATGGCAAGGAATAGATCCGCTGGACTCTCTGCACTGTCCTACTGGACCCAGGTTGGCTTAGCTCCTCCTAGTGCTTGAAGGAAGGAACGTCATCCCTTCTCAGGAACCTTTTTGCAGCTTGCCCCTGGAAGCAAGCCAAAATAAAGGAAGGGAACACAGGACCCATAAAGAGAACAGCCACACACTGCATATAGGCACTTCAAACCAATTTAGGTAGCTCAGGCAGGCAGCCAAAATGAGCCACATAGAGCGTGGCCCCTGGGTCTAGTATGACAGCATGAGAAAGCAACAACCCTTCTCTCCCAATGGATCCTGCTAGAGGTAAAGAGTATCACTAAGGAAAATTCCAGCCAAGTGCGGAGACTCTCTTGCATAGCATTTGTCCTAGAACAAAATTCTCTAGATGGACCATTAAGAAATAGCTTTAATCCTATCTGTCGCCTGTCCAGGCACTGAAGAGCTCGCATATTGAGAGAACAGTAGGTCCCACCCCTCTGTTGTGTTCCCTGATTATGCAGAGTTCTATGTATATCGCACCAGGGCAGCAGACTCCCTGAAGCAGATATCCTCCAATCCACAGAGGGTAGCGGAATAAGCGAACAGATCCCCACAGTCTCTACATGCAACTCTAATCATGCAATGGCTTTAACTCCCAGATATGGCTACTGTAGAAAGCTGCAAGCAGATTACTTTGGTAGGGAAGACCTGCCTCAGAAGATGCAAGTAAGTAATTTTAAGCAACACTTCAGTGAACTTCCAAAGATTTTGAAACCATCTAGTAAACCACCTGCTAAAAAAAGGTCTCCCATATTATTGAAATTAGTACATGTGACTAAAATGATTAATAGGAACCTGACAGATGCTGCACAGGTTTAATTAATGCATTGCAGCAACTTGTTTGCTGGAACTGTAACTAAAAACTAAAATTTTGAACTCACTATGTAATAAATATAGCCAGGGATGCCACTTGAGTAAAATATTGGGAGGGGTGTCATGCATCACATGACGTGGTGCATGAACACCATTTGAAAGGCAATGCCCACTAACTTTTGGGGGCCCTGGCCCCCTCAGATATTTTATTGGGGGGCTGAAGACCCTTCAGCCCCTAGGAGTTGGCTCGTATGAATATAGCTAAACAGTTCCTGACAAATAGTCATTCAGGTCAGGATTCACTTAATGAACCCAGAAAGGCAAAGCAGTGCCCTGTGCAGGGCTTTCTGCTTGCACATTGGGGCTTTCCCTTCTCTCCTACTCCTGTGCCTCTGAAATAAGCTTGGGGTGTGTGTGCTGGGGGAACCCCCAGAACAGTGCACAGGAGTGATGGTGTTTGCACAGAAGGAATGCTTGCAATAGCACAACGCTGAATTTCTTCCTCAGTTTCCACATGAAGATCTCCAAAGGATAAAATTCAATAGCTTATATTTTCTCGTATTTAAAGGGGTTAGTGAAAAGTTTTGGGTATTTTCCCTAAACCTATCTTCTTGCAGCTTAAAACCTTTCCTTTTGTCTTACCTGGCATCAAAGAAGATGAGAGAACTGTTGACACAGTCTTCAAAGCATTTAAATACTGTTATAATCTATTCAATGAGTTTTTCTATAGTTCCATTTAGTTAAAATGGTCCTTTACTCATTATTGTCCTTCTCTTGCTTCCCTGAACTTTGTGTAGCAGTCCAATCCTAACAGTCACTCATCTTAAGAGATCCTACAACAGTAATGGTATTGTGGCAGCAGTCATTATGAGCTGCATTATGATTTGAATGCCACAGCAGGATCAATGGTTACTATTCCAGCAAGGGCCACCATTACATTACATGGTGTTTAATACATAGCAACAAAAATACTTAAAAATCACTGTCTCCCATTAACACTGATGTGTTATGTAGAAATAGAAATAGAAATAGAAATAGAGCCCTTTGCTGAGAAGAGAAGAGGAGAAGACTCTAATCTGATATCTAGTAAAAGCTACAAAGACACGGACAAAGTCCTGCAACAGATAATCTAGGAGTTTGGTGTGACAAGTTTTATTTCACATGGAACCCGCCCCCGCCCCGCTTTTTTTTTTTTTTTTGCCAATAAAGGTTACTAGTAATCAATAGTCTCAGCTGAACTAGGGTTGCTGCACATTTGACTTGCAGGCCTGATAATCAATGAAGAACAAGGAACAGGAATGGAGGGAGAGAGAACTGAGGATGAGTAAGGAAAGACAGTGAATATAGGGAGCAGGTTGTTCCCAGCACAGACACTGACATACAGGTAGGGTAAACACTGTACCTAGAGAGGCTGCCCTCAGCTGCCAGGCCTTGGGAGTCATCGAGGACATTAGGTTCACTGCAGGAGGGGCGGGGAGGTGAAGCATTTAGGGAAGAAAATATGTTTTTAAAGCATGCAACCGTCTCTGTGTTCAAAGAAAAGAAGTGTCAGAAGGATAGTAAAGGGAAAAAATAACAGTAAAGTTGGTCTCAAAGCTGACTCACTGAAGTTAGGGTCAAACTAGATTTTTGGTTAATGTGTAGACAGCAACTATATTGTGGTGGTTAAAAATGTAATACAACACATGTTGTATATGTGCACTGGGACACTGTTTATCCATTACCTACTTAGCTTTTTGTTTGTTTGTTTTTAACTGCTAAAATTAGCATTGGGAAAAAGCTCCCATTGGCACCAGCAGCATCTTCCCTTCCCCCAAAGCTACCTGCAGCAGGGTGGTGCAATTTTCATGTGGATCATAAGTGGAAAGAGAAGGGTTAAACCTCCCCATTCCCTATAGTTCAGATGAAAATTGGGATCCCACCACACTTTACATTATGTTATTTTTTAAAACCCAGTTATAGTTGCCGACTATCCATTGAACATTATCTGCAGTTTGACCCCTAGAGCCAATACCTGGACAGAAGACTTGCTTTTTACTCTAACGGGTGTCCTATAGACAGAAGTTATGATGCAAAGAAATATCCTGATTTTTACAATACATCACAATTAGGTGGCATTGTAATAAAAGAAATGAGGTTGGAGTGATCTTCAAACCCTCGTGTCCCGTTTTTATTCTATTTACTGTCTTTCTTTTCAGACCCCCTTTCTCCTCAACATCATTTTACTGGACAGCATTCCTCTGGACAGCCATGACCAGATAGGCACCAAAGCTTCTCATATGTTTTGGACTCAACCCCCTTCTCATTTTAAACTTACCCATGAGGCCCACTCATTCCAACATTATTTTCCCCACAAGTAAGGAACCCTAAGAGCCTCACACAGCTGAATGAGGGCGACCTGCTCCTGTAGGTAAGGGTATGTGGAATGGGAGATCAATGTAATATTGGAACCTAAAGAACCTCACTTTTCCCACCACCACCTCCCCCCAAAACATGCATAGGAAAACATAGTTAAACACTAAGCTCCTTTTTCTGTAGCTCAGGATGTGGCAATGGGGCAGCCACCTGCACAAATATAATTACTCGATGGCCCTTGTGGTCTCTTCCAACTCTATGATAATGTGGATCAGTAAGAGCCTTCTGTCACAGAGCCTGTTCATCTCATACAGTTCTCCTATCAAGGCTTCACTGCTGCAAGATCCTCTGCTTCCATGGGCGTAGCCAGGATTTATGTTAGGGAGGTCAGGACTGGGGTGGGGTGGGCAGAACCAAACTATCTGTGATGCAGTTGCTCAGTTAGTTAAGTATTTTTATTTATTTACAGTGGTATCTCGGGTTAAGAACTTAATTCATTCTGGAGGTCCGTTCTTAACCTGAAACTCTTCTTAACCTGAAGCACCACTTTAGCTAATGGGGCCTCCCGCTGCTGCCGCGCCGCCGGAGCACGATTTCTGTTCTCATCCTGAAGCAAAGTTCTTAACCCGAGGTAATATTTCTGGGTTAGCGGAGTCTGTAACCTGAAGCGTCTGTAACCCGAGGTACCACTGTACTTGATTTAGGTGGTGCAGCTGCCCCCTGGCTAAGCCCCTGACTGCTTCCATGAAACTTTATGCCTCAGAGACTCTTCCAAGAGTCTCTCCCCCCAGGGATGTGTTATCTCTTAACTAGAGGGAGTGCTGTCTGCAATATCAAACCTGGTTTTTTTCCCCAGGAGGAAGGCTCAGCCTGCTTCAGAATCATCTCCTCCTTTGGAACCCTGAAGACTCTCCAGGGGACGAGGGCTCTCCTGTTCACTTTGCGTTACAGTAATGCGCCATGACCAAAACAGTTGCAAATATTAGTGTGCGTTTACGTTCTCACCAGTTAATCAATTATTTTTTGAGCAATCCACCAATTAAACTTTGCAGTTTATACTTTTCAAGCGCTACCAGGCTAATGATGTCATAGCATACAAGTATGATTTACAGTACAGCAAAACATTAGTAGAACTGTTACAAATAGCTTTACAGCTGAACTTAATTTAGGCAAGTTCTTAGGGTGGAAAGCTTATAGCCCTGTCAATAGACAATGACTGCTCTTTCTTTCACAGTTGCCAGCCATCAAGGATTGTTTCTGATGACCAAACTAGATGAGACACAGGAGAAACGTGATAAGCATTTCTTGTGCATCCACCAGGGGGAGAACATGAATCAGGTCCATGGCACTAGGGCAGAGGTCGGCAACCTTTTTCAGCCGTGGGCCGGTCCAGCGTCCCTCAGACCATGTGGTGGGCCAGACTATATGGGGGGGGGGGGAAATGAACAAATTCCTATGCCCCACAAATAACCCAGAGATGCATTTTAAATAAAAGGACACATTCTACTCATGTAAAAATGCACTGATTCCTGGACCGTCCGCGGGCCGGATTGAGAAGGCGATTGGGCCAGATCCGGCCCCTGGGCCTTAGGTTGCCTACCCCTGCACTAGGGGAAGGTTTCTCTAAGAGTTTATCCACACTGACCTTTTGCCCCACTCATGCCACACAGGCCAGCACTTTAAAGCACTGCGTTGGGGTTTTCACTCTTTAATGCTGAAGTCCAACAAACAGCAATTCAGCTTTTCTGCAGAATGCCATGTGCTCTGATTCAGCTTGAAAAAGCAAGTTTTCATGGGGAAAGCTCCGGAGCACGGATCATGCCCAGAAAGCGCAGAAGAGAGGTAAGTCCAGAAAGGTAAGCCCTATTCTTCCCCCGGTGATGTTTTCCCAATTAAAATAAACTTCACAAAGCTGTGGGGTTTTCTCTCTCTTAAGGGAAAACATACAGGCACCAATGCTCAACACGTGTATTAAGTGGCCCCAGAGTGACTGCAAATGGGTATGGATTTCACGTGATGGCAGCATGGTTGCAAAAAGTTTCCGTTTCATGTTGCATCTTTCTGCCTTACTTTTTCACTATGCATAAGCAGTTGAGAGAGAGAAAAACCTGGCTAATTACTGTGTCAATTTATCACCATGTCAACTGGTTCTCTAAATCCACTGTAAGAAAACAAGACTAGGCTATGGAGGGGGAATACTGGGGATCAATGCCAATTTATTTTCCAATGATTGCCAAGTGAATATAAAAGTTGGGCTATCGCTAGATTTGAAACCCCCAAATTCTCTCTCTCTTGCATACACCCCCCCCCACACCCATGCACCATGAGCACAGTTAGCTTTTCCTATGTCAGCAGGTATGGGACAGTTCATGGTTACACATTCTTACTGTCTAAAATCTCACTTTACATTTTAAAGTCATCCTAATGTTCTCAATATGCCACACACCATAGTGCCTAAAGTTCTGTGCAAATGCAACAAAAGAACATTTAGTTCAAAAAGTAGGACCCCTTAGCTGTAGGACCATAGAAGTAGCTCAGCTACTTCTCAGCTAGATGGACAGATCTGTCCAAGATAGTGATCCATATGTTTTTATTTTTTTTAAATGTTGCATTCACAAGCACCTTCAGCTGAGGCTCTGATTTAGCAGAACATATCTGTAACTTAGACTAGGTCATGGAATGGAAAGTTAACAAGAACAACAATCTCTCTTCAAATTACCTATTCCTCACTAATAAGTATCAAGGAAAACATGTATAAGTTTCTAATATGTAGGATTAAAACAGTAGTTCCTACACCATACACATTTTAACATAAAGCCAATGTTACATTGCCTCATTTCTTATTTTATTTGACCTTGTGACAACTCTTCTTCTCCAAACACCCATGTGTTGAACACTATATTATACCTTCGTAATTTCTGCTCTTGTGAGAGATGTCAGGAAATGTGAAATAGTGCGTATTGTTACCTTTGGCTGGGTAGCATGCCCACCTCAGCCTGAGGTGCAGACATGCTGGAGAGATGGCTGGAGAATCTCCTCCTCCCAATGGCACCCATGAGGTATGCTTCTTGTTCACTTACCACACTGGGCATGCTCACGGAATCATCTAGAGGGGGTAGGATGAAGAATCTCTCACATTATGTTTTAATATCTGCTGTAAGCACCCAGAGTGGCTGGGGTATAACAACAACCACCACCACCACAACAACCACAACAGATGGTAAATTGTTTCACATATAGCTTTTGGGGTTAATAGTTTCATGGCTGCCAAAATTCAAGCTGTCAAAACTGGGACAAGCTTTACCCCTATAATAAAGCCTTCTGGGAGAAAGCCCTACTGGCTTCAATGGGACTGAGTCCCAGGTTATGTGTGTACTGGATTGCAGACCTTAGTTACATACCAGAATGAAAATGGCTTCAAGAAGTAAAAACCAGTTTGTTTGTTTGTTTGTTTGTTTTGTTTTTCAGCCTCAGCTTGAGTAATTTAAATCTACTTTTAATAATAATCAGCTAAAAATGAGATAAATTAAAGCTTTCCGCCTTAGTTCGAACTTCAGCAGAGCATTTGTAGCAGTTGTAACAGGAAGAGTCTTCCCTTCCTAATAGAACTGTAAAAATGGCAGCAAAATCCTTCAAATATACGAAAGTTTCAGCCCCATGATAAAAATAATCAAAATGTTTTTGTAAACCCTCTCAAATATAAGAAGTATAAATATAAAAATCTAAGTTCAAAATAATGTGCATAAAGGCAATATTTGTTAAGAAAAAGATTACTCTGCTTTTTTAATTGCTTTTTTAGTCCGTATAATTTAAATTAATATGTGTCCAACATTTAATTGTCCATATGGGTAAATCTCAGCGCAACAGCCATGTGTTTAAATCTGTGTTTGTATTTGTAGCAGCCATACAGAAAATAGAGGGCCAATTTTCACTTTCAGTAATAAAGGGAAGGGGCAGGATGGCAGTTTACCTCCCTGTAGCCCCTCTGCCTCGTGCTTTTCTCCTAGATGAATGAATGATTTTATTTAATAAATCTGTATACCACCCATTATCCAAAGATCACAGAGTGGTTCACAGCATAAATCATAAAATACATAATGAAAACAAGAACAAAACAAGCCTATAACCCCCCTCCCACAAACACATTTAAAAGAACAAGGCCTGGTTGAACAGTAACGTTTTCACCTGGTACCTAAAGGTGTGTATGAAAGGGCCAGGTGAGTTTCCCTAATATTATTTCTAGTATTAGAGCACAGCAAGGAAAAAAGCTATGCCAGAAGCTGGGAGGTTGCAGCAGAGCAAGAGATGGAACACGGCCACTCCATCAGCTCTGCTGAAGACCCCAGGCTCTTTCGTCCCTCCACTGTCGCCTGGCCGCAGCCATTGCATCAGAGGAAGGGAAGGGCAGCAGAGTATTTCCACTTGCTCTGCTGAGATATCAGCTCCATCCATCTCCTTTCCCTGAACTGTTTCCATTCCAGTTGGCCATTATAAGAAGTAGTATGTAACTTTAAGAACAGCTGCCTGCCTGTCTGCCTTTGCTTGTTTCCTTCTTTTCCTCTCCATCCTCCACCGCCCCCGCTTTATGAGATCAATGCTATTTTTCTAGAAAAAGAGGTGGCAGAACTCACCATGAGCACCTCCATTGTTCTCTTAGAATGGCAATGGCGCCCACCTGAGAGGTGCCAGAACTGAGTTCCAGCAAGTTCTGGCTGAAAAAAAGCCCTTTATAAGACGTATCTTAGATTATAAACCTATGGGCAGATAATGCCTTGTTTTTATATAAACTCCTCCGGGAGTAAAAATGCTTCAGCTCAGGGGAAGGATTGTGCACACCTCCCAATGCATCTCCCTCTGCCCCTGGCTTTTTAGATGGCTGCAGGGGATCCAGATTTAAAGAAAGAGGCCTGCTGCCACATCACCTCTGCAATGCTGGGTACTTACTTTCTTCATCTTCCTCATCTGTCCGGCTTAAAGTATCCTGGGAAGCTTGTTGGGAAGGCTCACTATCCTGTTCCCAGACAGTTCCAGTGCCAGTGTTGGAGCGCGACATCGTGGCGAGACTCAGTCGGTATGCAGAGGTAGAGGTGCCTGCAGTGCTGATGGAAGTCTTACCTTGGTAGGCTGAACAAATTAAGGTGGCGGAAAAGAGGTGCTCATTAAAATGAAAGTTGGCAAGACTTAGTTCTTTTCCACAGCAGGAACGAAAGGAGGAGGGTCAGTGATCTGCAGATTCTGAGCCATTGGAAGTGCAGGCAATGTAAAGAGAAGCTTTCCTAATGTACTTACTTTAATTCCATGATACTATGAAGTTACAAGAAGCACTTCCCTGAGACTGATTGAATAAATGTCATGTAAGACATTTATCTCATCATATTTGATGGGCACTAGTGGTAGTCACTGGTTTTCAATTACACTATATATTTAGAAGATATTGTCTCACCACCATCCAGGTGGCAATTATTTCTTTGCAGGACTTCAGCCTTAAGGGATGCCAATGTAACATTTTACAAAAGCTTTAAAAAGTAAAATTATTGATCCTTTCCAATTTCAGTTTTAGAAGTGATATGTGGTTTAAAGCATTGTGCTGTTGTGGAAGATGAATAACACCTTATTAAGAGATCAGGAGATTGTTAAGAAGGCCCAAAAGAATTTGAGTGACTATTTTGAAATAAATTTGAAAACTACAGTTGAAAAAAGAGTAATCTGGGACGCAAGTAAAGCGGTCATGAGGGGGTTTCTGATACAACAGAATGCAGTAAAGAAAAGAGCTCAGAATGAGAAAAAAGATAAGATCTTGGAGAAAATAAAAGAAGGAGAGAAAAAATTAAGATCGAAACCAAAGTCACAGGAGATCCTGAGAGAAATTAAACTTTTTCAAGCACAATATACAAAATTGATAAACCAGGAAGTTGAATGGAAAATTAAACAAATGAGACAAAGGACTTTTGAATCGGCAAATAAGTGCGGAAAACTGCTAGCATGGCAGTTGAAAAAAAGACAGAAGTTGAATACGGTTACTAACTTAGAGATTGAAGGGAGAAACATTCAGAACCCTGTGGAGATCAGAAAATGCTTCCAGAGATACTTTAAACAACTTTATATCCAAGGGCTGCAAAAAGAGACTGAGATAGATCAATTTTTAAGAAACAATGGATTACCAAAACTATCTCAAGAAAATAAGACAATATTGAACTACAAAATAACAGAACAAGAGATTGAAGGTGCCATTCAGAACATGCAACTGGGCAAATCTCCAGGGCCGGATGGGCTAACCTCCAAGTACTATAAGACTTTGAAAGACTATTTGATTCAACCACTGAAGGAGGTCTGTAACGAGATTATGGAGGGGAAGAAGGCACCGGAGTCGTGGAAAGAAGCTTTCATCACACTTATACCTAAATCTGAAACTGAAAAGACACAACTTAAGAACTACCGTCCCATTTCCCTTTTAAATGTGGATTACAAAATCTTTGCAGATATTCTAGCTAATAGATTAAAAAAAGTGTTAAATGAAGTGATTCACAAAGACCAGGCAGGCTTTCTCCCAGGCAGACATTTGTCTGATAATACAAGGAACATCATTGACATTTTGGAATTATTGCAAATGAACACTAATACAAAAGCAGTGTTGATCTTTATTGATGCGGAGAAGGCCTTTGACAATATTTCATGGAATTTTATGAAGAAAAATCTCAAAGGGATGGGAGTGGGACGGGGGTTTGAAAATGGCATAGATGCAATTTACTCAGAACAAAAGGCAAAATTGATAGTTAATAATGTGGTGTCAGAGGAGTTTAAAATTGAGAAAGGAACACTACAGGGTTGCCCTATCTCTCCATTGTTATTTATTTCGGTCCTGGAGGTGCTCTTGAACATGATCAGAAGGGACCGGTTGATTGAAGGAATTCAGGTCGGAGCTAAACAATACAAACTAAAGGCCTTTGCAGATGACCTGGTTTTGACATTACAGGAGCCAGAATCTAGTACGAAAAGGGTTTTAGAACTGATTCAAGAATTTGATCGGGTGGCGGGATTTAAATTAAACAAGCAGAAAACTAAGGTTTTGGGAAAAAACTTGACAACTCTGGAAAAAGAAAGGTTTCAGAAGGAGACAGAGTTAAATGTGGTTAAAAAGGTGAAATATCTAGGGGTTAATATGACGGCTAAAAACTTGAATTTATTTAAAGATAACTATGAAAAATGTTGGTCAGAAATCAAAAAGGATCTAGAAATTTGGTCCAAATTGAAGCTTTCCTTGCTGGGTCGAATTGCTGCTATAAAGATGAATGTACTGCCAAAAATGCTGTTTTTGTTTCAGACTTTGCAGATTGTGGACAAGATGGATTGTTTCAAGAGGTGGCAGAGAGATATCTCTAGGTTTGTCTGGCAGGGCAAAAAGCCCAGAATAAAATTTAAAATATTAACTGATGCTAAAGAAAGAGGGGGGTTTGCCCTGCCAGACATGAAACTATATTATGAATCAGCAGCTTTCTGCTGGTTGAAAGACTGGCTACTTCTAGAGAACACTGATACTTTGGATTTGGAAGGGTTCAACAATGTGTTCGGGTGGCATGCATATCTGTGGTACGACAAGGTTAAAGCTCATAAAGCGTTCAAGAACCATATTGTCAGGAAAGCAGTGTTTAATGTCTGGACAAGATATAAAGATTTATTAGAAAATAAGACCCCAAGGTGGTTGTCACCAATGGAAGCTAAGGCTCAGAAAAGACTCAATATGGAGGCCAAGTGGCCAAAATATTGGGAGATATTAGAAAAAGATGGAGACACATGGAGATTGCAGAGTTTTGAGAAATTAAAGGATAAAGTGCGAGATTGGTTACACTATTGTCAGATTAGGGAGGTTTTTAATATGGACAAAAAAACAGGCTTCCAGGTGGAAAAATCGAAACTAGAAACAGAAGTGTTAGAACCTAAAATCAAGGTACTTTCAAGAATGTATAACTTGCTGTTAAAATGGAACACTCAGGATGAAACGGTCAAATCAGCTATGATAAAGTGGGCTCAGGACATTGGCTACAATATTATGTTTGCTGACTGGGAACGGTTATGGACCACTGGTGTGAAATTCACGGCATGTAATGCCTTGAAAGAAAATATTATGAAAATGATATACGGGTGGTACATGACCCCAGTCAAGCTTGCAAAAATATATCACTTGCCAGACAATAAGTGTTGGAAATGTAAAGAAACTGAGGGAACATTCTTTCACCTTTGGTGGACGTGCCCAAAGGTTAAGGCTTTCTGGGAAATGATCTATAATGAATTGAAAAAGGTATTTAAATATACCTTCCCTAAGAAACCAGAGGCCTTCCTTTTGGGCATTGTTGGCCAAATGGTGCCAAAGAAGGATAGAACTTTCTTTATGTACGCAGTAACAGCAGCAAGAATACTCATCGCAAAACATTGGAAGACACAAGATTTGCCCACCCTGGAAGAATGGCAGATGCAACTGATAGACTATATGGAACTGGCAGAAATGACTGGCAGAATCCGAGACCTGGGAGAAGAGATAGTGGAAGAGGACTGGAAGAAATTTAAGGATTACTTGCAAAAGTATTGTAAACTGTATGAATGTTAGAATGATGCAGGATATAAAGACAATATGGCATTAGTGACATAGCTGAAAGGAATATGCAAAAACTGGTTTAAAAGAACAAAGGTGAAGTTAGAATAATATTATGTCAAACTCAAAGAACTGATAATAAAGGGAAAAATTGGAGACATAATAGTTGAAATGTATAACATAAAATAAGATTTGAAAGAAGGTGAAGTATTGCTGAATAAGGTTTTGTAAAAGGGAACACAGAAAAGGGAGATGCGAGGGAGTCTGGAAGGAGGGTTTTGAAAATAATATTTAAGAAACTGAATCTTTTTTTTTCCTTTTATGTCTTTTTTATGCTCTTTTTTTCCTTCTATTTTGTATGGGGGGTTTTCTATTGTACTTTTTTTCTTTTTTGGCTTTTTTGATTGATTGTGATGGTGTTTTTCCTTTTTTTGGTTGTGAATGTGAAGTTTGTTTTATTGTCTAAAACTTTAATAAATATTTTTAAAAAAATAATAAAGCATTGTGCTGTTGGTTAAGTGATGATTAGTGTAGTATGTTCTTATCTGAGGTGCATCTTTTCTCAACTGGCTTTTATTCATCGATTTCCTCACCTGACCCACTATGCACAGCCTCCTTGAGGATCTTTAGCTCATTGTTGAATTCCGCAATGAGAGAGCTCTTGCAGAGAGGGCGTGGGATGAAGCGCCGCTCCAACTGGTCAGCAATGTGCTGTCGAGCAGTCATTTCTTCATGATTCTCAGCTGGCTGGGCTAGCAACTGGGGGTGAGGGTGGTCAGGAAGATCCAGGAAGAACAAAAACAAAAGAAGAAGAAGAGTTTGGATTTGATATCCCGCCTTTCACGCCCCTTCAGGACTCTCAAAGCGGCTAACATTCTCCTTTCCCTTCCTCCCCCACAACAAACCCTCTGTGAGGTGAGTGGGGCTGAGAGACTTCAGAGAAGTGTGGCTGGCCCAAGGTCACCCAGCAGCTGCATGTGGAGGAGCGGAGACACGAACCCAGTTCCCCAGATTACGAGACTACCGCTCTTAACCACTACACCGCACTGGCTCAAAACAAAACCAGTTACCGGTAGTTTTAAGTCAACACTCTCAGTGATTCTGCAAGTGACCCTTGTAACACTCAACAAAGATATTGGTTCAGTTTTGTAATGCCAGTTCCGTTTTTTAATGCCATCTGGTTTTGTTTATATTTATAGGTTTATAAAGTTTATATTTATAAAAATAAGAAACACCATCAAAATACTGCTTTAAAATTAAGAGGAGGAGCCATAGCTCAAAGGCAGAATGCCCACTTTGCCTGCATAAACCTCAGTTTCAATTCTAAGCTCGTCACTTGAAAGGATCTTAGGTAACAGGGCTTATTAGCTCTCTGCTTAAGACCATACAGGGGTCACTGCCCGGTCTCCCACTTGTCCATCCATTCCCAACAGCAAGGTCTGGTGGACTGGCTGACTGGGCTCCCTCACCCACTTGCTTGCTTACGCTAACACCGCCTCAGCTCCTGACAACCAGCACTCCTTGGCCAGCTCCAGAGGCACCATTTGCCTGGGAAGCTGGTAGCCAGGGCTGCTACAACAAACAGCTGTGCAAGCCTTGGGGAGGCAGAGACGCAAGAGGGCATCGGTTCCAATTCCCCTGATGGGGTGGGCTCCTATTGCTTGGTCCCTGCTCCTGCCCACCTAGCAGTTTGAAAGCATGTCAAAGTGAAAGTAGATAAATAGGTACCACTCTGGCGGGAAGGTAAACAGCGTTTCTGTGTACTGCTCTGGTTCGCCAGAAGCGGCTTAGTCATGCTGGCCACATGACCCGGAAGCTGTCTGCGGACAAACGCCGGCTCCCTCGGCCTATAGAGCGAGATGAGCGTGCAACCCCCGAGTCATCCGCGACTGGACCTAATGATCAGGGGGTACCTTTACCCTGACCTTTACCCCTGGTCTAGAGAATCAACACCTTTGAAATGTTTCCTGCTCTTCCTTTGAGGCAAACAACAGGGGTACTCAAGCCTGTTTAGTATCCAAGGAATACTCTCTCACTTTTGAGAGTGCTACTACAACAAAGCATTCCTCGCTCCTCCCCCCCATCTGGTTTATCAATGTCATTTCACAAGGAAATGGCGATTAACATTAAAAGTAGCTTTACCTTGCACTGAATGAAGGGTCGAAGAAGCACAAAGATAGGAATTCGGGTGCGAACAATAAAATCTATGAAATCCCACAGAGCAAGCCCTCCTACTTTTCGCAAAGCCATCTCTTTGACCTGCAGGCTTAGCCAATACCATTGGCTGCCAAGCTGACGCTCGAAACAGACAAGGATCACCTTCAAAGCTAAAAGCGAAACAAATGTCAGAAGAATTAAAGTTCTATGTGGTGACAATACATGCAACACTTGCATGCATAAACGTTAGCGTGCCCAAAGCCTTTCTTCGTCAGCTTCAAGCTCTTCACCAGAAAGCAGACAAAATGTTGTTTATTGATTATAATTCTTACTCCGACTTTTAGTCTAGTCATAAATTCATAAAAACAATTTAAGTTTCCTGTTCCCTCTTCCTCCACCAGCAGCCGTCTACATTGTTCAGCAGAGCTCCTGATGAAGCTCTGAGAGGCTTCGTTTTTTTGGAGGGGGGAAAGAGTGCAAACAGGCACTCACTGTTGTCTAGCTGGGCACTGAGAACTGGATGCTGGACCTGATCAAGCACGACTCTTCTTATGCTCTTTCTGGTGGGCATGCAAAAGGCCTCCGGAATATAACAGGTTAAACATACATCCACACCACCCAGAAGACAGCATATGATTTATATTGCAGTCACAGCAGCTTCCAAGGATTTCCTTCCAGATTTCCCTCTGTGGCTGAGTGTAAGAAAGAGCAGGTAGAAGGAAGAAGAAAGGAAGGAGGAGACAATATGAAGACAAACCAAGAAGAAAAAACACCCTCTGTGGCCTGGAAGGTGCAATATGTCAGCCAAACTGAGATAAATGTTCAGAAGCCCCTGTATGAGAAACACCCTCCTGATCAGAATAAGAGGGAGGGGCTGGAGACCTCCCAACCTCACCAGAAGGAATATGACTGGCCCAAAGTTCTTATCTGTGACTGGCACACAGAATACAATGCAACTTGCCCAAGCTAACTGCAATGCCAATCAGGAGGATCAGGTGGCTGAGCACCCTACTGACGAAAGCTACTTCTGCTTATCAATCTCACAGTGTCTAGCAGAAGTCCATGTAGCAGCCCTGCAAATCTCTTCCAACAGAGCATTAGTGGAAAATGCTGGTAGGATGGGCTATAATATTAAGCAGCCATGTCCTGAACCCACCTAGTCAAGGTCAATCTAAACACCTTCTGCCCCAATGTATTGGGCTATTAGGTGCAAACATATATTCCGCTCTGCTGAACTGGCAGGTTATTTGGACATCTCTGATGTCCAGCTTATGTCATGCCCACTGAGAGGGTTGGGAGAAGAATTAGGACAGAAAGAAGTTACGGGAAGCTCTTGAGATTTGTGACAAAGAGGACTGATATTAGGAAGGAAATATGGTTTAGGCCCTAGTACTACTCTGTCTTCTTCAAAGGCACAATGTTGGACTTGATAGACAGGGCCTCCAATCTGGAGATCTCTTCAGACTGGCAATAATAACCACAAGAAAGAGTACCTCAAGTGAGGACAGTCTTAATGAAATAGTCCTAAGAGACTCAAATGGAGGTTTCATTGTTGCTTGCAGCACCAAACACAGGCTACACATAGGGAAATAATGAACCTTTGGTCCAGTGGTCCCTCTCCCAGGGAAGATGAAAAGGGCCGTGGTTTCCCTTTTAAGGGTGTTTGGCTTGAACCCACCCATGCCAGCCCAGCCTGCAGGAGTCTCCAGATGTCTCCTGTTTCCAGGCTCTGAAGATTTATATGCTTAAATCTGCACTGTTTGAAAAATTATAACAACAGAATAGGAGAGAAAAGAGAGAAGCAGAGAAGACAAATGAGGCAGAGTCCTTCCTGTTCTCCCAAAATATCAGAAAAGAAACAATATAAATTAAGGGAAAGGGAGTGGTGAAGAGACAAGTACAAAATAAACTGCAGAAAGTAATGTGTGCTAGAAACAAGGAGAATGAGCAGCTTACCAGGCACCCAAACTGGAGGAACAGCCTTGGGAGCTGCCTGTAAGTAACTGCAGTTTAGGCCACATGTCCCTGGCTCCCTTTAGCTGTTGGGGAGTGGGGCTGCCCACTGTGTTCTGCAGGCCTCCTGCAAGCCAACCAGAGAAAGGAAACTTTTCTCCAGTGAACCTCCTTAGTTTGACTTTACTTAGGATCCAAGCCAGAGCTTTTAGATCACTCAAATGTCACCTCAAACATGATGCTATTCAGGAGAAGCAGTTTACATGTTCAGCTGTGAGCCATCAAGTGTTAAGACGTCAAATGATGAAATGTCACATAAAACCAATAGATAGAATCAATAGATATCAATGGATAGAAAAGCATGCATGCACCAGCTCTCATTTCCCTTTATTTCCTTTCTCTTTCTTTCTTTTTGTTTCAGCTCTGGCAGGCAGAAGCTTTCACTCACCCAGGTAGGCTGCCTGGCTAGTGGATTCGGCTAGCCCTTCCTTGCGCAAGTCCTTCCCTGCGTCCCCAGGGGTGGAGCAGTGGGCAGGAGAGCTCTCCAGCATAAAGTTCTTACTCCGGGAAGTGCTGATGATGCGAGGTGGCAGCAAAATATGAATGACTGTCTGGAGCAGGAGGAGGACCTCTGGCTGCTCCAGCCAAGGGCTGTCTGCATGACACCAAAGGGAAAAGACATAGAGCAGGTCAGGAGCTGACTCACCAAACAGGTTCAGCATCATTGATGCAATATGAACATTCGGCACACCCAACTGGTCCCCCTCTACCTTCTCCTCCTGCAAGCAAAAGTTGGGGTTATTCTACAACACCAACATACACAGCACCTAATTTTAACCAACATGATGTTTATGCTCACTTGCACTTTCCCCACCCTCTCACTGTCCTTTGACTTTTAAGGACAGGTTCCCACCAGGGTTGATATGATCAGGTGAGGGGACACCCTTCCTATTTCTTTACTAACCCCAAGGCAATGGTTCTCAACATTTTTCTCTGGCTCACACTTTCAGGATAAAAATATGCTTGTGCTACACAGAATATTGGAAAACAAAAAGAAACGACTCCTAGAAGGGCTTGATTGATAACAAAGAACACAACTACTTTATAATACAGTCACGGGACATCCAGAATGTATAAAACAATGCAGCTACGTAAGAACATGAATCATTCCCAAAATATAATTATAAATGAGCCTCATACATATGTACTTTAAGTATGCATACAAACTCTATGAGAGGTGGGAGCCTGCAGTATCACCTGATGCTCTTGCTCTCATTTTGAAAATATATCTAGCCATATTCTGCAAACAAAAAATGTTGTGTGGCAGAACAATTCGCTCAGGTGAATGAGCCCTTTGGAAAATAATCGGTCATACTGAATTAACTGTAATGTGAAAAGCGGAGTTTGAACCACTAAAGTGGCATGGAATTCAGTGAAGAGTAGCTTAAGTGGAAGTTGTGTGGCTTTCTAGTTTGGTTCCATTTCTTTCTTACACATAGGTGGGGTGTTTTGTTTTGTTTTTGCTTTTGCTCTGCCAGGATACTTTGTCTTTCATTGATCTCAAAAAGAGGAGCTCCTCTGTCAAAGAGTGAATTCAGAAAACACAGCTGAAATAAAAGAAGAACACCACAACACCCTTTTCCTTTTGTTTGTCCCCTACAAGCCCAACTGACAACACACCACTGAAAGGACGCTCATAGCAGAAGAAACATAGAGGTGGACGGATGCACAGACATTTTCTGGTTCGGAGAGGCAGCAGGGAGGGGGAAACAGAAGAATCTTTCTGTTAATCAGACCTTTGCTTCCTGATCCTACTGTGAGCACAAATGGAATCAGTAGATTTAAAAGCATTCCTTCCCTTCTCTCCTGATTGGTGAATGGGGAGATCACGTGGCTTAGGGGAAAATCTTCTTTCAGAGCCTGTGCAGTAATAATAAAAAAGAATTAAAATATTGTACTGGTAGAGTATAGGGTTGAAGTATAGTCAAAGAAAAAGGGATCCATCAACACTTCGTTTACACAATGCCCTGTGTGTCCACATCTGGGTGAGTTCACCAGCTTGGATGACATCTACAAAAGACTCAAATTCCAGTTTCAGCATAATCTCTTAAATTTAAATCTGGAGTTTAGCCCCATATTGTTTTGCTTGATCCTGAGGCTTGATATGCCAAATGCCAAAGATTAATAGCAGTAATTGTGTTCTGACACTCTGGAAACAGGAAGGCTTAGCCAGTGACAAAAACTACGTGAAACTGAAGCAGCTTTGTCCAATCTGGGGTATAAATAAATTATTATTATTATTATTATTATTATTATTATTATTATTATTATTTGGACTACAACTCCCATCAGTCCCAGCCAGCACAGCTGAATGCTGCTGTGGCGGATGGAGTCATGTCTGTGCTTCCTGTGGTGATGGGAGTTACAGTCCAAAGCATATTGAAAGCACAATTTGAGCAAGGTTTGTAAGTTCTTCAATACTTACATCTTAGGTGTGAATTGTACTTAGGGGTGTGCAGAGGCTTTGTGTGAGAGCTGAATGATGAGATGAATTAGGGTGTTTCAGGGATCTCCCCACTTCAAAGTCAAAACATGATGTCAATACCTCCCTGAGTCAGATCAGAGTCCCCACAAAGTCATGTCACTCTGTTATTCTGTTTCTGTGCTCTTTTGTGCTGTATTGCCTATATATTTCTTTTTCTCTAGGTTCATGGGCTTTGCAATAAGTGAGGCCTTTTGGAATATTGCCTGCAGGGCACTATAGAAGTCTGAATTTTGATGCTGTTGCAGAACAGCAGTGTAGGATTATTATTTTTTAATTTAGACACTTAAAAAAAGTCCATTGCTCTGCTTTAGCACTACAACAGAGCTCTTCAGGACTTCACAGGAAGAGTTGTAGGACCTATTGGAGACCTGTAAAAGCTTATCAGAAGACAAAAAACACCACCCCAAAGAGAAGCTGGTGTGTGACTTTAAAGTTTTTAAATATTATGAGCAAGAATACACACTTCCTAACTCATTTAAGCTAAGACAGAAACAAACTCACACTCCCAATTAAGGGATCATGGAGGAAAATGAACCCCTTTTATTTCCATTATAAAAAGCCCCTGGACTTATTTGTCTGCAATTTGTCAGGCTTAATCTACTCTGGAGGCTCCTGTGCCTGTAAATTTAATCTATTTTGGCCAAGAGGGGGGAAAGGTATGTCCATTGTTACGTTTCCCATTACATAGAACAGGGGAACCACAGACCTTTATTGCACACAGAGCAGCTCAAAACCCAAAACACAGATCAAAGTGGAGTGAACACAGTGACTCAGAGAGAGTTTGGAATTTTTAAAAATGCACAGATACAATGCAAATTTTGGAGCCTATACACACACATAGGATTTGAATGTGAAATGAATGGACTCTCAAAACAACTTGAATCTTATAATGATGTATTTCCAACACTGCTGCAACTTAATAGTAATAGATAAACAGGTACCAACTCCATCTGAAACATATTAACTGTGAAATGGCTTAGGTTTTTTGTGTTTTGTTTTGTTTTTTGAAAATTCAATATCCATATCACCTTGGAACTACAAAATTATTTCCTAAGAGTACGTGACTAAAAACAAGAAACATGTTTGAAGGTGCATACATCTGCTGCCACAGACTGACATGACTACTTCTAGCTAAACTGAATGTATTATATTAACGCTGCCTGCCCCCCCCGGGTCTGTTAATGTATTTATTTAAAACATTATACACCACTTTTCCAAAGCTGACCCCACTCTCAATCAAAATACACTACTGACATCTTTCTTTAGTCATGCATATGCTTCAATTTCTCTAAATCTGTGCTTTGGTTCTTTATTCCTCCCACCCCACCCCTTTTATCATGACTCTCTCTCACCTAGACTCTGAAAAAGCCCCCTCTTGTTTCCTTTCCAATTAACCTGGGCAAAGTACAGTAGGTTAGTCAGAACATAGAAGGACTACATCATTCCACATGTGGACAAATCTATATGTGTAATATTTCTGCACAAATCTAGTGCTGTTAGGAAACCTGGAAATGGGGCTGAAAGCTTGCCTTTGCATTTAGTAGCTGAGAGCCTTTCCCCTCACTACCTTAAATTGGTGCCAACAAAGAAGTCCAGGCAACACGGAAGCCTGAAAAACCTAAAGCACACAGCTTGCATTTTGTGAGAGAGTAGCACTGTAACTCACTGAACAAAATTATTACATTTCCAATATTAAAGATAGGTAAATATAGTATTTGATGATTAGTATAAAAAAATTACTGTATGCATTTATACTTTCTGTGGTCTCATCACACTGTTATTTGAATTAAGGTTCAGTTTACCCAAATGTCCTATAACAACAACAATAGTTCAATACAGTTGGACAGAAATAGTTAATCTAATAATCTACACTTTAGAAAAGAAAGGAATGCCTTATGTGAACTTCAAAAAATCCTAAGATTCAAAAGTCATAACCAATCTCTCATTCAACTAATAACGGTTTGTGAGGTGTCAATGCAAAGTTTGAAATTACACAGGAATTTTCAGTGGCAAAATAGCTGGTCCTCGTATTGCAAAAAAACAACAACAAGACATCATCAGCGTACATTGATCTAGTCATTACAGATAGTGTGAGAATTTTTTTAAATTTCAAAGCTCGCATGCCCATGACCTATACAAGTCCTGCAGTTCTTCACCTCTTTTGTTCTTGTTCTAAGCCTAAAAGTAACCATGGTTATCTATCTATCAGTCATGAGAAGTACAACTACCATTTGTGTCAGCTCTTCGGTTGGTTTAAACCTGCATAGTCCCAATGTGACTTCAGTGGGGCTATGCTAAACTGGTACCCACCGAGGATCTGGACAATTGCTAAATGCCATGGCATTCCAAACTATTAACATATTTGTTGGGAAATTTTCATTTTGCTTCACAGTTTTTGCCCAGCTTTCGCAGAAAACAAGAGCACCAATGAGTTGGTGTCTCAACCACATGATAAGCAAAGCCTGCTGAACAGGCAAGGCAGTCACACCTGAATCTGCAATGCTACAAGCCGGACAACAGCTGTGCTGAAGGGTAGAGGTGGCGAGAGATAAGGGCTGAGATGAAGAAGGGGCAATCCATCGGCCACACTGGAAGGTCCTACTACTCCCATCACCTGCAATACAAACACAGCACAGCACCATGACCAACTATTGCAATTCCATCCATGCCATACCCTCCAGTGTTGGTAAGGTACACACTTCAGGTAGCGCAAGACTGGGGTTGCTCTGCGATTATGAGTCCTCCACAGTGTCTTGCGGTAGCTGGGGCCAGTAAGGAAAAGGAGTGGTTCTAGCAGGAAGTGGGTGGGGAGGAAACAGGGACTGCTACAGGGTTAACCAGAGGGGTTGGTCAGAAGGCACAGGGAAAACCAGTACATTTAAGAATGTACACAGTACTAGCCCTGAAAAACCAGCACTGTACTGGTAGAAGGAGGAGGGGTTGGAGGGTATGCCATGTAGTTACCGTACTCAATAGAAAAAGGTACTGAAATCACAGTGTTTCTAGTTGGCTTGAGCTGTTCCCTTATTATGTCATGGTAATGTCCTGAGTCAGACCTAGACTGGTTTTTATACAATGTTCAGACTCTCCTGTATGGATGTGCTATTACTTCAAAGGTTAAATCTTGAGGGGGATTGAACTGTTTCAAATCTATGCCTGCAAAATATTTTCATTTAGAATGAATTATGTTGCTAGAATGCTTTGAGGTTACAAAAAACGAACCCCTTTCAAAGGGTTTTGTTCAGCTTTGCATCTGTTAGTTAAGAATACAGTCCTTATTACACTTGCATCCAGTGGCTACTCCAAGCTATCTCTCTAGATGCAGTTAAACATTAGTTCTAAGCAATTTGAAGGTGTCCTGAGTTTAGATCTTGCTAGAAGTTCCCTAAGAAGTTTATGGCTGACACAGGTTTCTTGCTAATATGTTGTGATGCTGAATAAATATGAATAAATATTGCTTGAAGGACTAATAGTCACCTTGCTTGGCTCTACTTCAACTTGTATACTTGTAAGTAAACAGAAAAGATTGCAAATGTCTCCAGCGGTACTTACAACCACCTGGGGAAGTGGAAATTCCAATGGCTGATCAAATAAGCTGATAACTTCCAAGCAATGTGGGACATAACAGGACCATTCAGGATCAGGTAAAGGACCCCTGGACAGTTAAGTCCAGTCAAAGGCTGGATCAAACCAGGGGTCCATTTAGTCCAGTAATCTGTTTTCAACAGTTGGCCAGCCAACTCACAGGCAAGGCACAAAGGCAACAGTCCTTTCTACTGTGTGTCCTTCAACAACTGTATCATTATCACTGAACATGGAAGTTCAATTTTGCCAATATTACTAATATCCATAAATGTCCTCCATTAATGTATCTAATTCCCTTTTGAAACCATCTGTCAATATATCTTGTGGATATAATTGTCTAAGTCAACTTTTATTGTATGTATGGAGAAGGAAGGTTCGGTGCAAAATGCTTTGCAGTACTGGATAAACAGGCAGATAAATGCTAACATACCATTTCTGCACTCTCTAAAGTGTTTTCTGTATTACAAGTTATATGTTTCCAAATTATGGTTTTCTTTACATCATTGATGGGTGCCAGCAAATTTGATCAAGCATTGTTTGTGAAGGCTTGTCTGGAGCAATGATCCCCATTAAAATGGCAGAAGTCCAGGATTTGCATAAATTCTTAACTTGAATGAAACCTTGTGAGAGTTTAATTTCAGTATAGGAACTGTCAAGATCTAAAACAGAATTGTCTGTTACTGCAAAGTTCACAGACTTGTTCCAGTGGCTCTATGCTCTATAACTTCCTCATCAGAAATTCTTCTATTTAGGTGTTCCCTAAAGCAATCTAAGGGACGCGGGTGGCGCTGTGGTTTAAACCACAGAGCCTAGAACTTGCTGATCAGAAGGTCGGCGGTTCGAATCCCCGCAATGGGGTGAGCTCCCATTGCTTGGTCCCTGCTCCTGCCAACCTAGCAGTTCAAAAGCACGTCAAAGTGCAAGTAGATAAATAGGTACCGCTCCAGCGGGAAGGTAAACGGCGTTTCCGTACGCTGCTCTGGTTTGCCAGAAGCGGCTTAGTCATGCTGGCCACATGACCCGGAAGCTGTATGCCTGCTCCCTCAGCCAATAAAGCGAGATGAGCGCCGCAACCCCAGAGTCAGTCACGACTGGACCTAATGGTCAGGGGTCCCCTTTACCCCCTTAAAGCAATCTAAATGTACAAAACACAGAGCAACACCGAGATGGATAAAAATGTCCAATTTAGTTTCTCTCAGTTTCTCATTTTTCTGCTCTTAAATTCAGTTTGCCGCATTTCTGCTTTAGTTTCTGACTTGGCTTTTAAAAACGTCATCACAAATATTTATCACCATTTCTGTATACATTTCTGCTGTTGTGCACATTTTTGCAAGCAATTCCCCCCAATATAAAGCATTTTTGTAAGTTATTTTCACCACTAAATGCATTTTAATGCACATTCCCAACCCCCAATATATGTCTTTTGTATGTATTTTGTTTGGAGAACTGCAATGCAAAATTCAGAATAGGGAATATTTTGAGGGATAGTTGTGTTTTGGGTTGCATATTATTTCAGGAAGTGCAAATTAGGTAGGCTTGCATTAAAATGTGAACCAAACTGAATTTCTCTTTCACCCTGATAAAGGGGCAGAAGGATCTGAACATTGTACAAGAAAATCTAAAAGTTACTTTAGACCAGGGACATTACAAATGGCAAAGCAAATTTAGTTTAGTAATTCATCTAGTCAATTGCTTATGCCCTTTTGCAGAGCGATAAAAAATGTTGTCCTTTAACAACTTGAGACTGAGTATGTTTCCAGCTTCCCCCATCCCCTTCCAACTCCTCTACCAGGTGTGTGCAGTATCCACCACTCTCCAACTTGCAGCCCTCAACTCTCGGCGCAACATGCAGGAATGGATTTTCAAAATGGTGCATGGAAAGCAGCAAAAACCAGTCACTGGGCTTAGGCTATGGGCTTCCTCCCCATTCGCTCCCCATGCACCACTTTAAAAATGAACTCCACTATTTCTAGTGTCAGTTAAATAGCTTATTTCCGTGAGTAGGACTGGGACTGGAAATGGGGAATCTCTACCACAGAAGGAAGTCTGGTAGATGTGCAGGAGATTGGAATGTTGGTTACTCACCAGATTGACACAGACATTGATCAGTGACCTAAGGTGAGGCAGGAAGGATATGATTGGCTGCCTCTGCAGTGTCAAACAAACCCCTTCAATCAAACTGCTGGCAGGCTCCCACTCAACCTGTCGCCTGGAACACAACAGTAGGTGATGTTAGGCATCCGGCTCCACCCAGAAACCCTGCACAAGGTGACTGAGACAAAAGGACTCTGAGGGATGCTTCAGACAAGGGCATCTCAGATGGCGAAAATAGGCATTACAACAAGTGCATTTTACCTACACTATTCAGAAATCAGGGAAGCACAGAAAGCACTGCAGAAGAAACTGGACCTACAGCAAAGAGGTGTTGCCATGAGACTCAACAAACGATAGAAAAATATCCAGATCAACAATCGAAAGGAGTAGGAATTGGTGTGTATATGCAAGAAACTAACAACGTGGTGTCCTGTGAATTTGTTTTAAAAAGACATACTGCAAATGGCAATAGTATGCTTCTCCTCCACTGATTTCAAAGGATATATATTCTCCCCAAAATGTAGGCTGATTGCTGCTTCAAATCTCTATGGAGAAGGGTATTCTGAATTTGCCCATCAGAAATAAAACACCAGATTTCTGCTGGGATTTTGAAATCTGAAGTAGAATCCAGCAGATCTAGTACAGTCATACCTTGGAAGTCAAACAGAATCTGTTTGACTTCCAAAACGTTCAGAGACCAAAGCACGGTTCTGATTGGCTGCAGGAAGCTCCTGCAGCCAATCAGAAGCCATGGAAGCCCTGTCAGACGTTCGGCTTCCAAAAATAGTTCACAAACCGGAACAGTCACTACTGAAAACCATGGAGAATAGTAGTGATAAGGAACTATGATAAGGACTTGATTCTGTGATTAAACCAGAGTTCTCCAGTTCAGATGTAGCAGACAACTATGGCTTAACGCAAGACAAGAATGAAGCACCAAAGATGTCAGATGACCGAGGGGGAGGTGGGTAAGAGAGGAATGCTCAACCCCAACCATGGTTTATAAAGCTGGGAAGTAGTGGCCAAACCCCTTTGCATCCTGGCTTTTCCTATGAGAAGGGATAATTATAACAAGTGGACTTTCCAAGGTTCCAATCAGAAAAACTTCGCAAGCAGAATTAGCTTGTCTTCCTGACACAATGTCACTCTTGGAGAGCAGGAAGGAAATTCAACATTCAAGTCCCTAGGGTACTCCTTAATGCTTAAAAAATGAAGAAACAATATTTTTTTTAAAAAACGGGTAAGGTTTGGAAAACAAAATAATAGTTTGGGATGGCACACACATCAAAATACAATTCAGTTTCCATTAACATCATTTTGATACACACTGGTTACAGGAAATAAGGGGAGGAATAATGTTTAGTTTGTTTCATCTCATTGGGAAGATGAACAAAGACAGTCTTGATATGGATATTTGCCCATGCAGATAAGAAATCATTAAATCAAATTTATACAACTTTAGCCTAGTTCCAGATTACTTTTTCTAGGAAGAAACTTGTTGCATGATACGTTAAAGACTAGCAAATGTATTGTGGCATAAAACTTTGTGGACTGGATCTCACTTTGTTAAATATTTTTTGGGAAATCCCCTTAGCTTTTCCATGTCTTTTCCATGCCTTTTCTCACACGTGTTTTATCTAAGCAGCTATCCAGGTAGCATGTTTCAAGATCCAGTATGTTCTCACACTCAAATGACTAATCTGAGCCATATGTTTGCTGATGTAGCTAAAACATGCTAGAATATCACGCAGGAAAAACAGCACTGAGGGAGTTCATCCACACTTCTGCCTGTCCCATGCCTAGAAAGCACGGGTCTAAGCGCTTTCTGCCTTGTCCCACTCCTTTCCCAGGGAAAAACAGCTCTTTAGCGCTAAATCAGTGCAAACATCAATCTGGAGAAAACTGTAATTGCCGTTTGCTCCATCTGAGTGATAAGAGTGTTTTTTCCCAGGGGAAAGGAGTAGGACCAGAGGAAGTGTGCATGAGCCCTGTCTCAATGACTTCTGAAACGACCTCATTTTTCTTTGCCTTTGCAAAATAAGACTATTCATATGGCTTTTTAAGCTCCAGAAAGTTTAGAATCCTGCATTTAAGTGCATTTTAATACAGTTACAGACAGAGTTACAACAAAACGTATTCACGGTCCTACAGAATTTATATCACATATGCTTCATTCTTAAAATCATGAGATTTTAGAAATGACAAAATCAACAAAAGTATTATTCCTGGGCACCTGTTTTGTGGTGGATGCCATATTTTTACCAGTTCTGCTATGGTTCGTCATAAAAGATGCATTTCCTCTATTGTTGTCTCACAAATGTGGCCGCATGCATATACAACAATAGGAAAAATACATTTATTATTTTTTTGCTGTGAGAGTTCAGTGCAGCAAAACACTGTCAATAAAATGACATACCCTTCCTTCAAGGCTTGCAACAACAGAAACGGACCCCTGTAGGTTTCCGTCATACATGCTCACCTCAAAGTAGGCATCTTGTGAATTTTATTGAACATACGATCCAATCGCTTTAAGATGAGGATTAAGGCAGGCCTCACTGCCTCGGCCGTCCAGTCAGTGATGGGCAGCATCTCCATGATGTATCGCCGGAGCCCACGGCTCTCCATCGTCTGGGTGTCGTAAGGTGCCAGCTTCAGAAGGGAATGTGCAATTTCTGCCAACCTAAAATTACTGCTCGTTAAGAGGGAAATCTCAGATTCTACCAAGTGAGCCCCTTTGTAGAGAGCCACAACCACTGCACAGTGGGAAAATACACCCCATTCAAAAGAACGTTAAGTGATCTAAGAACACAACTTACAGCACACTTGAGGCTCACAGTGAGCCAGAAGTGGGTCACCATTTTGGCCCTGTGGGTTACAGGTGGGGATGGGGTGGTGCTGGAGGGGCACAAGCCCATAGGCATGACCAGAACCTGCCGTGCCAATACAGATTAACACAGAGACATTAGCACTCAGTTACACATGTGTGCACATACCCCACATGGGTGGATAGAAACACAGGGAGGAGCCTCCCTGAGAACGCATAGCACAATTGAATTTGTGCTTCCCAAGCCTAGCTGTTTGTGGCTGGGGGGCACAATTGAAGTGGGGAGATAAAAGCACGGGACAGTGATCCTTACCAACGCACAGAAGATCACTACCCCCCCATGCTACTTACCCCCCAGAGCCCAGTTGATGGGCTGATGGGCAGTAGTGAAAAATGAGTGGAGCTCTCTAAGGTTTGGTGGGCTGCAGAGAATGGCTGTGGGCAATGGGCTGGCCACCACTGCAACACTCCATGGCAAAACTAAAGGAACATAAAAACTTAAGAGACTTAAACCTATGAGTGCACCATCAGTTTCACTTTGCTCCAGACAATGTCTGAGTGGCTCAGCAAGAAAATGTCCTATGCATGTCTTTCTATCATTTTTCGTAACAAGATTACAAACAGCCTCAGCTCAGTTTTAGTTCTTGATATTCATAAAGACTAAAGTAAGTGAAGCTGTTAAAATACACAGACCAAACTTTCATGAAGCTGCAATCACTGAGAGAATTTGCTTTTAAAATGTTTACATGAGGAACCTCAACCACAATAGAAGCAGCTATTTGTTTCCACAGCCAAGGTAAGTATTACACTGATTCAACTGGAGACACAACTTAAAAAATCATAAATCAGTGGCATATATTGAGTAACAATGTATCAGCAGGTCATGAAGAAAGTGAGAAATCTCTTGAACTCCATCCTGTAGATGTAAAAACAGCTATAAAGCAACCACATGTAGGATCTAAAAATGCACAAATCAACTGCCCAAGGATTACAAGTAACAAGGTCAAGGGCTCTCTTCCCCTGATATTACAAATAAGTGCTAAACAAGGATGCCAGATTTGATGGAGATATAGATAGCTATATAAACTAAAATATGCACCAGCTGTTTGCCTGAACTTGTAAGCCCTTTGCCATCAGCTGTAATTAAAACAGGAAGCCTCTAAATAATCATAGTTTCCTATTTCATCCAAAATGGAAACCTATGGTTAACAGCGTCAGAAAAAGCCAGGATATTAACATATAGTTTGCACTTGATGTATTAACAACCTGGCTTGTTGCAACACTAGCATACAATTTCCTACTTCAGACAACAGCGGACACTAAGGTTAATTAGTAGTTTCCTTGTTTTATTATGGGTCACATGACAGAAGTGGCAAATAGGTTCTGTGCACGAGCAGGAGGCTTGTGTACATATTTAGGCTTAATAAACTGAGCTATGATAACCTGTTATTTCTGATAAATATATCTTACTAATTCCACTTGGTTTCCCCTTTTGAACTACCAACTCTAGCTGAGCTTTTAATGCTAAATGTTTCTTGTAAATTTCCATCCACAGGTTCAAATCCTGCCCCTGGAACAAAAGAGGACAAGCCTGTTCCTTCTTCTGCATGCCTATACTGCCTCCCTTTAATCTTCCCTTCTCTAGGCTAACCCAGAACTCAGCACCATACTTTAGGTGGGGCTAACGGTTTCAGCTAAAGCAATACAAAGAGCTTGCAATTTAACAAGTCTGGGTGTAACACAAAGCCAAACTATGGCCTAGCTCCAGGTTGTGCAGCAGCAGCAGGACCAAGGGATGAGCAACGTGCACACACGTTTATGCTTAGCCATGATTTGGTTGATGCATGAGCTTGTCTGTTGTCAAAAGCTTTAGGATTCTCCATAAAGGTGTTGTGATAACATTAAATAAAGCTCCTGCAATATATTACCATATATGCTTCAACAGTTTGATATATGTTTTACATATTTCATATATATACTGTACATATTTCAGACATATACTTAATGTGTTATTAAAATAATACCTCATATGAGACTTAACATCCAGCAGCTCTAAGGAAGTCACTCTGGGCTCTCCAGCTAGGTTCTGCAAAATCTTCAGTCTGGGGCCACAGTGTTTATAGAACTCAGTACAGATATTCAACAGGGACTCACGGGGTCTCCTGAACTCCTCCCTAGCAATGCGTTCATCTAGCTCCTCGCGCTGAATGCCTTGGCCTTCCTCCAACAAGTGAAGGTTTTCCCTGAAGGGAAAGATGCAGAATATGAAGGTGCAAACAGAGAAAATGCACTGATAAAATAAAAGATTGTAATGAATTCCTCCTTTTGAACCCATGATAATCATGGCTTGGCAATTGACAGAAAATGAAGAGTGAGCAGCTAGGGAGACTAGGTAGAGATAAAAAGTATATTGTCGATTTCCCCTTGTAGCAAATTGTTGACATTGGAACCCAGGGAGAGAGAAAACTGCAGAGGTGCTAAGGAGATTGGGTGGCAAATTTACAGTACCTGATAAAGTGCAGTTTGGCTCCTTGATCTGGGTATCTAGAAATACAGAGGGAAAATGGTATAAGGGAAAAGACCGAGGACCTTAAATACACTTTGGACCCCTTCAGACAATGCTCCCACAGCATGTGGTGAGCATGCCTTCCCTCCCAACACACCTATTCTGCTTTTGACACCACCTGACATCCATGCATGGGTGTAACACTTCAATGGAGTTGTCTGTGCATGAACTCCAATCCATAAATGCTCTGCCTCTATGCCCAACGGGTGTTCTAAACTCAGAATACCCCATCAAGTGCAGAGGCAAGCCTTCACCTTAGGTGGAGAGGTATTGGATTGCTTTGGTTCAGTGCCCAACAGGTGCTCTGAGCACCTGAAGTGGTTGTTCCTGACAGTGCTCAGGCAAGGCAGCCAGCCTTCAGCCAAGAGCAGAGGTGGGTGGCAGAGGCATGGAAGGTCGCATCTGCACCCAATGGATGCTCTGAGCTTGGAATGCTCTTAGGCCCACATGACTCAGCCTCCTGTCTTCAGCTTAATGCCGAAGGAGAGAGGGAGAGGCGCATTGGCTTGCCTCTGCCTGGAGCTCCAGCCTGAGGTTCATCTTGCTCAGTAGAACTTAGATCCCCTCTTGTCATGGGGAGGGACGTGGGGTGGGTAGGATTACTGGACCCTATGTATGTTGTGTGTGTATACAGTTTCAAGGAACCTCCTCTACACACACATGCATTCTAGCTCTGCTCTCCAGGTGCTGTAAACAGATAGCAACATATAATTGTCTTCTCTTTCATGTTGTGCTTGCAAGTTTCCTGTGAGTATTGGGCAGGCTACTGCTGGAAACAAAAGAAATTGGGAAAGGTGGGCCTTTGGCTTGATCCAGCAAGGCAATTCTCACGTTCTTCTCCCAAAGCCATAGTCCCAAACTCCATGTTTCCCCATGAAACTATGTGCACACGCATACAATATCATCAGGAACGTTAGGAACTGGAGCTTGGATCAGCAAGTCATAGGACAGCCCCAGTTAATTACCTAGTATTTGTTCCAGACGACATAGTATGGTTAGCAGTAGTGGTTCCTTTATGGCCTTGATCACAGCGACTCATCTGAGGGGCAGTCATTGGCCTGTTTAATGGGGAAAAAAGGCAGGGTCAAAAACTAATATCCTGGTGACAATTTTTGCATTTACCACAGAAATGTGAATTTTTATCACCCAAATGCTGTGATCAAGGTCCAGTATTTGCTTTTGACCTCAAGTTTTTCACCTAAACAGATTTTGCTAATTAAATATTGAAATAAAACACCCCACACTTTTTGTATCATATTTGAAGATTGTGCTGATCTGAATTCTCCTTTGGCAATTCAAATCAGTCCTCATGAAAGAACACCTATCAACTTTTACAACAGGGACTAACATGAAATAATTTTCTTGTGTTCTTCACTTCCTACGTTCTCCATGGTCACAGTCACAAAAGTGGAGCAGCTCACCTGGTAAGAACTTCTACACTGTACAAGAGGGCTTGTAAGGATGTAGCAAGAGCAGCTGTAGCAGCAATCTCCTCTCGAGCCGCTGTCACTGTCTCCACTTGGGAAGTTTGCCTCTTAAGCCTCTGCAGGTAACAGGGAACCAGGGCTTCAAGGACCATCAGCATCTGAAGACTGAGCCCATGTGCATCATGTGAGGATGAAATCAATCAAACCAAGGGTGCACCCAAGCATACAGAATTCTAATAATTTGAACAAGCATATAACTTGCTCCCTGCTTCTTCGCACAGCACTGACGGGCTTGGATAGCTTCCTTGGAGCAATATTTTGAGTTTAACAGTTTAATAATTAAAGAAATTATGATTATAGTATTAATAATTACTAAACAAATGTTTAATTGAATAAAAATGCACTGCACTGTTAAAAATCAGGCAGCCTACCTGAAACAATCAGGGTAGGTGCTAAGAGTAAAATGACAGCTCTAAAAAACATTTCACGATCCAACAAGAGGAGCCATGTGCATATGTTGGGTGCTATGTCATGTTTACTGAAGTAGAGCAAGCAGTGCACAAGCGCAATCCTAGGCATATGGTCTTCAAAGCAACTGACAGTCTGAGAAGCAAGCACAACTTCATCTCCTGAACAGCTCTTCTATTCCCTAGAAATATGCACACCATTTAAAAACTTTTTAAAAAGGCAACTTTGGAAAAGGTTTAAATCATACATAGGGCCATAATTTGCCCATATTATACTTTTTAAAAAAGGAGACATACAGTGGTACCTCGGTTTTTTGAACAGCTTAGTTCACAAACAACTTGGAATTCGTACACCGCAAAAACGGTAGTAGGTGTTCTGGTTTGCAAACTATTTTTGGATCCAAACGTGCTCCATTCTGAGTGTTGCACTTCCATTTTGAGCGCCACACTTCTGTTGCCTGCTCTCTTGCCGCCTGGCCTGGCCTTCCCTGACTCAGTGCTGGGGTCACGGCAGCTGCAGGCAACATCCAGAATTGGAGGTGGGAGTGGCTGATGCTGCAGTGGCGGCAAAGGTGGAGGAGGGACCCAGCACCGGGCGGCAAGCGAGCGGGCAAGGGATGTCGCCACCCCCCAGGGCTGGGTCCCTCCGCCACCATTGCCACTGCAGCATCAACTGCCCGATCCTCCGGTACCAGGTGTTACCCATAGCTCCAGGCCCCAGAGCAATGCCAAGCGGCTAGGCCCCAGCAGTGACTGCTGCCGCTTCCCCTCACAGGGCGTGGGGTGGCACGGGCAGGATGCAGGTGCAGGATGAGTTCTTCAGTGAGGAGAACGTGCCCAAGTGGCGGAGGCTGCTCATGCCAGCCCTGGAGAAGGTCTGGACGGGGAGTGGAGGGATCCAGAAGGGCTGTGGGGGGGGGGGAGAGCAGTTTTAGGGGGGAGAAAGGGCTGGCGGGGGGGGGGGAGAAGCCGACTGGCTCCTCAGAGAGAGAATTTTTTTGACCTTTCCTCCCCCCCTTGAACTCCCCCTTCATGCACCTGGTGCACAATGACAATGGGTAGATCACTGCCAGTTTTTGATACTGGGTAGTAGATTGCAGCCTGGTTTATTGCTTTCATTTTAAGGATCAATGGTCTTGTTAGATAGTAAAAGTAATGTTAAATTGCTGTTTTAGGGGTTGTTTTTAAAAGTCTGGAACGGATTAATCCATTTTGCATTACTTTCTATGGGAAAGTACGCCTTGGTTTTGGAACGGACTTCCGGAATGGATTAAGTTTGGGAACCAAGGTACCACTCTCTCTCTTTCTGCTAGGCTCATGCCATCAGAGTTTTATTTGCAAATGCACTCAAACTCCAACCCCAAAACATAGGTTACCTTCTGAATGACTCAGGGGCATATGCAACAACTGTTACACATAACTTTATGGCCTCGCTGATGGAAAAAGTCAGGTCCTCGTTGCCGTAGCAGAAATCTGCAAAGGGGGGGGGAGTAGATTATAAATTCTGTGAAATGGGGGTGACACAATAAGGATGAGAGATCTATTCAACAAATCAACAGCAGCCCAGGAAATTGATTACTGAACTGTAATCCGATATTCTGTGGGCTTAGCCACCTGCTCACCATGATTTCTTAGGCAAGTAATTCTCTTTCTATTGCAGATCTTGATTTGTATAATAGGCTTTATCCCTGAAGGTTTTTTATGATGATAATAATGGCACAAGAGTAAATTTGACCTGCAATGAACTTTAGCAATAGGTTTGGTTATTAACCTAAATATATTGCAGCTGGTATTGGCTGGTTAGTTAGCACATAAGTTAGCAAAATTAAATACACCCACCCACAACGGACTTTTGGCCTTAGCAATCTCCTTAGCACTGCCAGGGCAAGATGCTGCTGGGGTGAGATCAGAGCAAACAAATCCTCCCTTCCCTGCTCACTTCCTTCCTGCTAACAGTGACGGCTCCTAGGCACCATGTCCGATGTTGCATACTTCTCAGCTCTCCTACTTTGAGCAGGACACTCCAGAATTACAGAAGTTATCCAGACTTCTGATTGGATCCCAGGTTGTCCTATTTTGGCTCCTGCGCTCTGGTGCAAGTTAGCTGGCTCCCATTCAGACATTGTTGGACTCTCCCATCAGCCCTAGCAAACAGTGCTAATGGTCGGGCATGATGGCAGCTGGAGCCCAACAACATATGGAGGGTCACAAGTTCTCCATCCCTGTGCAAAATGGTTTGGAAAAGGTTTGTCAGTCGGAATTGTCATGGCAGCTGAAACTGTGCATGTCAGAAGCACTTCAGCTGCTGAACAACAGTTCAGCAAGGAAACTGTTTTCCCACAAGGAAAATGCCAGCCCTTCCACTAGGCAAACTGAAGCAACTGCCTCAGGAGGTGGGCAGGCGCGGTGGCATATTGAGCCCTTGGGCCCACCACTGGTTGCCAACAAGTCCTGCTGCTGCTGCCCACCCAACAGCAAGACCTCTTGTATCCAGCTCCTGCCTTGCTCTGAGTAGGCCCTCAGAACAAGACATTTTTCCTGGAGTGACTATGAAATCACCTGTGCCACTGCTGCAGCGATGCTTACTTTTAGAGTTAAGGAGGCAGGGGGTTGAGAATGTAGAGGCTTGAAAGAAGCCCCACTGTGCTTCAGGAGGACAGGCAGGTGTTTGCTATTATGGGAGAGTTTGTGTGTATTGCAATGGGCAGGTCTTGGGAGTCTGTCCAAAACAAAGGTTGGATGAATGGACAAATTGTGGCAGACAATAACTATTGTATTTTTAATGTTTTATAAACAGTTTTGTGTACTGCCTTGGACTGCCAAAAGGCCATCTATAAATAATTATATAAATAATGTCCTTCATGCTGATAAAGTGGGGTGAACACATTGGCATTTTAAACCTAAATAAATAATAAGAGTTGAAGCTGAAGTATGTTCAAAGGTTAACAGAAAAGACATATTTATTTCATAAAAAAGCTAATTCAAAGAAACTTTGGATATACCTAATGATTTTAGAGGCTTTTCTGCTTTCACTAGTTCCAGAATGTCCAGGTTGTCAGGAGTGTCCCCTTCTAAGGACTGCAGCAGATCAAACAGGCACTGAGCCGATACGCCTTTGCTGGGTGCATTGTTTGTTGCATCCTGCATTTCAAAAAATAAATGTAATTCTGATTTTCAGGTTCCATTTACATTTTGTTACACTTACAGATGGAAGTAGCATCATATGTATATAGTGATATGTTTTACAAAAATTCTACTAGCTTGAATCCAGTACTACAGGGTGATTGTATGTTACATGTGGAAAATGGAGATCCCGCCCCCCCAAGGTGGTCTAAACTTCTGAGAGAGATACTGAACAACACTTTCCTGTGAAAGATCAGGCAGTCAGTTCCATGAGCCCCACAGCACTGTCAGGATCAGGCTGGGATTGGTAGGCCCAAGCAGAGGAGGAGGAAGAACAGACAGAGAGACGGCTGAACTGTGGGAACCTGGGTTGAAGGAGGGCAGATTACCTTTTCCGCCCCAACTTCAGCCATTTCGCAGGAGAAGCAGGGATGCCAGATCCTGCTTTGTGAGAGCCTCAATGGAAGTTGGGGAGTGCTTTGATCAGCCAATATGGGATGCTGAACAGGAGGTGGCAGCAACCGAACAGGAGACTGAACAGGAAAATGCAGCCCTGTCACCTAGAATTAGGTGCTGCATTTGTATATGGGAGCAGGAACCCCTCCCCCCACCCCACCCCGTAATGGAACATGCGCTTGCAAGCTTGACATTCCCACAAGATAAGAGAGTTTTGCAAGTGAGTGCACCATGAGTCATCTTTAAAATCTTGGAGGGAGGGGAAAGTTGTTGGGAATCCATTTGTACTCACAGGAAACTCCAAGAGAGGAGCCACACTGGCAAACAATTGTAGTACAAAGGGCTTACGATGTAGAATGTAAAATTGACGGCAGGCAAACTCAATTGCTTGACGGAGCTGTGGGTTGCTTTCGTAGTCAGCATATACCTGGACAGAGAGAAAACACTAAAGGTACTATTTGATTGATAGGCATGATGACCCATTGCAAAGTCACACTCTAAAGTTCCACATTTCACTGTCCCTCCTGTTCATTAGATGGATGGATGGATGGATGGACAGACAATTTGGATTTCATATTTCTCTACAAAGCCACGACAATGTGGCTCGTGTCCTTAAATCATGTGAAGAACTGAAACGCTATGTTCTGAAGTGACCAAGTGCAAGGAGCAGATACGGCCAGTGCAAGAAGCAAAATCAGCACCCTCTCTCCACATCAAGGAGCTCCAAGGCAAGTTTAACGTAACAGGACTTTCCAGCTTGATCAGGGCCCTTCACAGTTGCAGAATTGACTTCATGGCTAGTTCAGGCCTGTTCATTTCTCTCTGGTGAGAGACTCACCTGGAGCATAGTGGGGAGAATCCACTGGTACCCACTGAGAGAGAAGAGGTGGTTGAAATGTACGGCTGTGTTGATGACAGTGGCAGCATATTGCCTCAACAGGGCACTGTCCTCAGGGTGCAGGATCAGGGCTCCATTGAATACGTTGAGGAAGAGCATAATTTCATCCCCCCAGGGAAATTCACTAGGCATCCCGAGAAACATCTCCTCTAGCAGTTTAATCCAGAGGCTTTTCTGAAGGGTGTCAAGGCCAAATAGCTCCTTTCCAGCTATAAGAACAAGGTGAGCAACATGAGTTTCAAACACAGCAGCTTGCCTCAAAGATGAATAAACACCTGACATTCCAAGGAAAATCTCCACTGTGAACCATTGCCTCTGCAGATATGCTGACGGCGGGTGAGGAAATGTAGTGGCTGCTTTGTTTACATATTAGATAATCAAAGACACCACTAGATCCTTTAACTTACATCTTTCTGATCTGAAAATAACCTTGTTATATTATAATAAATATTAATGTTATCAATTGGCATTTTAGTGTACTCAGTCAGCAAAACAGAGCTACTGGAGTTGCAGCCAAAGGCTTTCTCCTTGTAGTACCTTGTGGATCACTGAAGAGTGAGAACTCAGCATCAATGGCGCTGCGAGGGAAAGAGGGCAAGCGGAGAAGGTCTTCTTGCAACAGAGACACATGAGACTGTTTGTGAGCAACGGGGATCTTCTGGGTCAGAGAAATGAGGAACAGAACCCGACCCACTTCTTCAAGCTTGCGTGTGAACACCTGGTAAAACAGCCAAAGAAAGAGTCTGAAATTGTGTATGCACACATAAAATGTATACATTGACACAGGAACACTAGTGTCCAAAAACACACCCACAATTAGGTCTTGAACCTGACACCTAGTTAACAGATGCTTTGTTCCACTTATACCCCTAGCCCAGAGCAAGTAATAATTGATGCACAGCTATTGGCAGGGGGGCAGAATACCTGTTTCTGAATGAGTTCTTGGCCCCTTTCTGGGTTCATGTGGACCAAATTCAACTGGGGAGATACTGATCTTCGAAATGGATAAATATCACGGACATAGGTCTGAAGTGGAATGGGGGGGAAAGAAATATATTTTACCAATAAAATAATGCAATTTTAATCACAGCAGTAATAATGAATGTTCTTTAATAGTAGCTGAATGCTGTGCTATCTGTGATTACTCATCTAATGTCTGTGCATTAAAAACAACAACACCACCTAGGTGAATCATCCATGTTTCTGACTCTAAAACTGGATGAATGCTCTTTACTCCAAAATTTTAAAATTGCAAGACAAAATATTTCTTGTAACACATCTTTTTCCAAGATGGTGCAATTTACATAGAAAAGCACAGTTGTCAATAGCAATGAAGGGGACGCGGGTGGCGCTGTGGGTTAAACCACAGAGCCTAGGACTTGCCGATCAGAAGGTTGGCGGTTCGAATCCCCACAACGGAGTGAGCTCTCGTTGCTCAGTCCCTGCTCCTGCCAACCTAGCAGTTCGAAAGCACGTCAAAGTACAAGTAGATAAATAGGTACCGCTCCGGCGGGAAGGTAAACGGTGTTTCCGTGCGCTGCTCTGGTTCGCCATAAGCGGCTTAGTTATGCTGGCCACATGACCAGGAAGCAGTCTGTGGACAAACGCCGGCTATGCTGGCCACATGACCAGGAAGCAGTCTGTGGACAAACGCCGGCTCCCTCGGCCAGTAAAGCGAGATGAGCGCCGCAACCCCAGAGTCGGTCACGACTGGACCTAATGGTCAGGGGTCCCTTTACCTTTACAATAGCAATGAATGCATGAAATCAGCTCACAAAACATTGTCTCACCTTATTATAATGAATAAGATTCCATCGTTTATCCATTAAGAAATAGTTGGAAGATTGGGACTCAGATATGTTAAAAAATTCCAAACACTCCTGAAATGGAAAGAAATAAGCAGCAGCTGTTATCTTTTTAGCAAATCATATAGGACGTAATTTAAAATATCTTATTTGGGTTCCAGAATACTTTTTCATTCAAGAAAGCTATCTATTTTAGACTCTAAATTCCTCCTGTGATCACATCTCATCTCTATAAACCACTGCCTGTAGAAAGGGGGATTTTAAAAACTGCATAGTTTTTCAAGAGGATGAAAGTATTTGCTTCAGATCTGAAATACTGGAGATTCTTTTTAAAAAGTTATATTAACTGATGTAATTCTGCAAGTATTTTAGTGGTCATTCTTGTGAATATAAGGCACAAGTAGGGTGGTAGCTGGGAATCCCTTCATGTCCTTAAACAATTCCTTCTGCTTAGGATAAGAGCTGCCTGGTTTCAGCCATGTTGGCATGTTAATGTTGAATACAATTTTCTTTTATTTCCTCTATTTCTTTGCCCCATACACTGGAGGAAATTCATGCTTTTACAAGTCCAGTCTTTACACATCTAAGTTGATACCGGGACAAATAATTCACAGAAAAATGAAGCTTCATATTTCATTACTTCCATAATACTGGTGGATTTGAAAATATAGGCATCAAAACATTGTTCTGAATTGTTTTAATAAAATAGTATTCAGACCTTTAACAGCGCTTCAAACTGAGTGTCTTCATGGACTGGTAACTGAGTTGGGATATCACATTCATTTTGCCCATGAACTACAAGGGTCTTGGTGCCTACAAAAAATATAATATAATATTGTCCTAATATAATTAGTATAATACAAAGTCCAATGTAATTCGTATAATTTAATGTCCTATTATACTATACCAGACTACAAAAGACCAACACTACTGGTAATATTAACCCTAGCATACATGGTTGTTAGAAAAAGAAAAAAGTACTATTTCAAAGCCACTGTTCAGTGTCTATATTTCAGTTTATATTTATATCCTGCCCTTTCTCCACAGAACCCATGTAACTGTACATGCCCCCCCATGTTATTCTCACAAGAACCCTGTGAAATATAGATGCTTTAGTTGAGATTCTTGCATTGCAGGGGGTTAGACTAGATGACCCTCAGGGTCTCTTCCAACTCTACAATTCTACAGGTAGGTTAGGCTTAGAGAGAATGATTGGCTCCAAGTCACACAGTGTGTTTCATGGCTAACTGTGACACAATGCTGGCTCTATTGTGTAGACAGCAATCTTTTGTTCAGAGACATCAACAGCTAGGAAGTGTTTGTGGTTAATATTTTATGAATCCTCAGGGGATACTCTAAGAAAAATAATAATATTTGAGAACTCAGGGGGGGGTGTTGTTAAAAAGGATGATTTTTGGATCAGTGTCTTTGTTGTTCACACTACAGCAGACACGGCTAACACAGAACTCACAAGGACATACTGTATATTGCAACCCATGGTTATTTCTGGCAGGAATCCAGCATACATGCGTTGAAGGTTGGTGAGTCTTTGTGTGTCATGCAGGACACTGCAATAAAATGTCGTTTCTGCAGATGGGTACCAGTTCTCCAAATGTTGTGGCTGATACACCTGCTCTGGTCAATCCCCCCAGTGGAGTTGGAAGAGGGTGGGGAAGTGGCCTGATCAGTCAAAGAGGGTGCCCATCACTGACCTACCAAGTCCTTTGTGGGGGCATATTTAGTTTAGTTTAGCTTTTAAATTATTATTAATAATAATTGTATTTTAAAACCCTACTTTAAATTTTAAAACTGGAAATTATTTTTTTAAGAGAATTGACTTTGAATTGTTTAATTAAAAGGAGAGCATCAAAAATAATGAGAAAGAAACACAGCAGTGCTGCAGCAGCAAAAAGTAAATATAAGAAGCAAATTCGGCTAAAAGGCCCCCGTCTATGTACTGTATAGTGAATTCCATACCAGGCATTGAGGCAGTAACCAGAAGCTTCACTTCGCATTGTTCCTTCTTCATAGTCTGTTTGAGATCCTTGAAGAATAGTCCTTCTACATATCCTACAACTTCCCACAGGAAAGTCAGAGTCGCTGAAATAGCATCCATCCCCCATTCACATGGCGTGCGCACAAAATACATGATCAGTCCCACCTATGAATCACAAAGATACAGGCTGCATTTGGCTTAGTTCTGCAAAGAGCACCAGTTAGGCACATATTAGCCCTGCTCTAGAGATCCTCAGTTTCAAAGTATAATGTATTGCACTTTGGAACTCCCTGCCTATTGAGATCAAGCAGGCGTCTTCACTGTACTCTTTTTGGCGCCTGCTATAAAACTTTCTTATTTTATAGCAGGCCTACCAGATGCTTAGAAAGCTGAGGTAATTTTAATCTATTTTAGAATTTTAACTTGTTTTCTCAGTTTTATTATTTTTCTCAATTTTATTATTTTACCTTTTCGTAAATTGCTTTGAGGATTTTTACAATCAAGCAGTGTATAAATAAAAAAATAATAATGAATGTGAAGTCCCCCTCAGGGAACACGTGTTGCTGCTTGAAAGAGCCTCTTGACTGAGTCTTCCCATCTAGTTTTCTGTATGCTGTGATTCAGTCAAGAGAAAGAGTTCTAACTTGCCCCTAGATGAGTGAGATTCATGTAGCTATGAAGACTTTGTCTGACTAGCAACAGCAGCGACCCTGTTCTTTCACAAACTTTTGAATCTTTAGTGATCATCTCTCAGTAATGTTAAATCATATTTCAGGTCCACTTTGTTTTGATTCCTGTATTTCTATTTCTTAGTAACAGGACTATGGGCATCAGAACCAACACCACAATATCAGCCAACTGTATTTTGCCTTTATTACACTTTGGGAACACCCAGCAAGTCTTTTCTTGGGTTTAGGGAGGTGCAAATCAGACCAGTGTTAACATTTTGGAGAAATGTGTAAATAATGGCTACAGTTTTGGTTCTGCAAGGGACTCAGAACAGCTTACCAAGTAATTAAATAGAATATGGGATGTCTGGGCAGGGAAGTCTCCAATGTTGAGCAGAAGTTTCCTCAGCATATACATCAACTCATCCTAGAATAAGAGCAGAATTTGCTTTTCAGCTTTATTACTTTCTTCTCAAAATTTAACTCACTTTTACTCTTTTCATCAAAAAGGATCCATTCCACAAATACATATTGTCAGGGGTTCAGGGAGAGAGGCACAGATGAGGGAGGAGACTGAGAGCGAGGGGGAAGAATCCAGGAACGAGGAGGAAGAGGATGACAATGACTTGAGGGCTTCCATGAGTCTCTCAAGTGAATCGGAGGATTCCCAAAAGGGGGCGCCCCTGGTCAGGCCAAGGGGAGCCACAGGGGGGACTCGTCAGGAGCAGGGGAGCAGCAGGGAAACCCCGAGTGGGAGTGGGAGATCGGGGCCGGCTTCCCAGCAGGAACGGAGTGAAGAGGGTGGAGTTCCCAGTGTGACACATGGAGCAGAGCAGGAAGCAGAGAGGGGAAGGAGATCGGGGCAAGACGTCCTGCCGGAAGGGGCGGAGAGTAGTACAGAGAGTAGTATAACTGTCAAGAGGAAGGTCAGGGGTAGCGAACGCGCGCCAAGTTCAAATGTGGAGGCGCGCGGAAATGCGGAGAGCCCGGAGGAGGAGCCTGGTCCCAAAGCACGGAGCAGGGGGGAGCAGGCGTCTGGGGACTCAGCGTCAGAGGAAAGCAGGAGGGAAGGAACCCAGGGGGGCAGAAAGACCCTGCGGAAAAGGAAGGACAGGAAGAGGTGGACTAGCACAAGCCTCTTAAACTGGTGTAGAGGCAGGACTGATTCAGAGGGGACTTCAGCGGTCTAAGCGTAACAGACGTGGGGCTGCGCGCCTCGGCTGTGGAACAAACAATGTACTTCAATAAAGACTTTTGTAAATAAAGTGGACTTGGCGTTGGTCTCTTGTGAGCTGGGACCTGAGGCGGCCCTGACAGTAAGTCCCCTCTCTAAAAGAATGCAAAAAAAATTTTTTTGCAAAGCTCACGAAGTGTGGCAACCATGAGTGCGGAAGAACAGTTGACAGCACTACGAAACGCAGTCTCCGAGCTTTCCACTGCGGTAGTGGTCTCCCAGAAGAAGAGTGAAGAAGCGGAGGCGCAATGCCACGATCTGCAAACCAGGTGGGAACGTGCGTGCAAAGAGGGGTTCCCGGGGTCCAGATCAGAGGGAATCGGACTCGGAAGGCGGGGAGGAAATTTAGTAGCCCCCTTCAATGGGAACCTGAAGCACTACCCCAGTTTCAGAGCAGACGTCCTGTATGCACTGCATTTGCTTCGCAATGACTTTAAAGATGAGGAGGAGAAAGTGGGTTTTATTGTGTCTCATTTGCATGGAGACGCCAGAGCGTGGCTGCGCAATTTGTGGCGTGAAGATGGTCCTGCCCGCCGCGATTCTGATGAATTTATTAAAGGGATGGACGCTTGTTTCCAGTCCACCGTGGATGTTGATGTTGCGCGCCAACAGATGCACGGACTCAGACAAGGCAAAGCCACTGTGCGTCAGTACCATTCGCGCTTTTTTGCATTGCTGACTGTATTGGGCTGGGAGAAAGACTCCAAACCAGTGAGAGATTTGTTCTGGGAGGGACTCCACAGCTCCATAAAAGATGAATTGGCCAGGGGTGACAGACCTCAAACCCTAGCAGACGTAGTAAAGAGGGCTCTTGCGATTGGAATACGACACGAAGAACGTCCTTGGCACAATGAGGAAGGTCGCCAGGTGCGTGCGCCAGCGAGGGCACCTCCTTTTATCCCCAGGGAGTTCGGCCAGGCGCATCCTTCGCCTCTAATGTGGCAGGGGGAGGAACCAATGGAGCTTGGCGGTGCTAGAGCTCAGACAGCAGCCAGAGCCCCAACGTCCGGTGCAGTCAAGGAGAAGCCTCCTAGAGGGAACAGGAAATGTTACATCTGTGATAGTGCACAGCACATGGCTAAAGAGTGTCCCCAGAGGCTCCGGAGACACACTGCAGCTTTAGCAACGGTCGCAGCAGACGTACCTCATGAGGAGCAGTTTCAGGGAAACGACAGTGCCTGGCTGGAGACAGCGATGCTGGGGCTCAGCCAGGCGAGTCTGTAGAGCAGTCCCCAGCGATTTTGCAGCACACAGACCCCTTACCACCCAAGCCAGCGGTGCAGCTCACTGCAACACTCCAGTTGCCGAATGGAACCACCCTGGAAGTCCCCATTACAATCGACTCTGGAAGCAACGCGGACTTTGTGGGGGTGCAGTTCGTCAAGCAGCATCGCATAGCGCTTCTGCCAGCTACGACGCCCCTGAACGTAGTCACGGTCGATGGCAGAAAATTGCTAGGAGGGCAAGTTGTGCAACAGACGCCTCCCATGGTGATGCAAATTGGAAATCATTGAGAAGTCATTAGCTTCAACGTCACCCGCCTATCAGACACGCCTATAGTGTTAGGCATGAGCTGGCTAGAGAGACACAGTCCAGCAGTGGCGTGGTACCAGCGACAGCTCACCTTTTCCTCATCGTACTGTGCTCAACATTGCATCCAGTTCAGCCAAGGGGAGGAAGCTGGGCAGCAACTGCAACTAGGCATGGTGCAGGCAGTACCCCGCAAGTACGAGGGATTTTTGGAGGTTTTCTGCGAGAAGGAAGCTGACCAGCTACCACCCCACAGACCTTACGACTGTGCGATTGACCTGTTGCCGGGGGCGAAGCTGCCGACTGCAAAACTGTATTCCATGTCTGAAGATGAGATGCAAGAACTCAGGGAGTTCATAGAGCACAATTTGAAGCGCGGATTCATTCGGGAATGCAGAGCGGTGGGGGGCAGTCCTGTGTTTTTTGTGAAGAAAAAGGACACGCCCCAAAAGAGACTCATTGTGGACTACCGGGCCATAAACTCGATGACAAAGCCCAAGGCCTTTCCCATGCCCAAGATTGACGACCTCCTAGCAACCGTGCGGAAGGGGAGGATCTTCACCAAGTTGGATTTGCGCGGAGCGTACAATCTCATACGCATGCGTGAGGGCGATGAGTGGAAGACGGCCATGTTCACGCCTCTGGGCACGTATGAATACAGAGTTATGCCTTTTGGTCTCCAAAATGGATCCCACTGCTTCCAAGCCTTTATGCATCACGTGCTAGCGGGACTCCTCTACAAGAAGTGCGTGTGCTTCCTCGACGACATCCTGATATTCTCAGAATCGCCGGAGGCTCACAAGAGAGACGCAAAGGAGGTCCTGCAGAGACTACGGGAACACAGACTCTATGCCAAGTTGGAGAAGTGCCAGTTCGATGTGATGGAGGTGGATTTCCTGGGCTACAAGCTGTCCGACAAGGGGCTGGCCATGGACAGCGCCAAGGTCCGCGCGGTGTTGGACTGGAAGAGCCCGCGCAATCGAAAGGAGGTCCAGAGGTTCATCGGTTTCGCCAACTTTTACCGCAAGTTCATCAGGGGTTTCGCGAAGGAGACAGCAGCAATCACGGACACTCTCAGTTCCAAGAAGAAGAAGTTCACTTGGACGGACCAGGCGGAGCGCTCTTTTCAGAAGCTTAAAAGCCTCTTCGCCTCCGAGGAACAGCTGCTGCACGTGAATCCTGGCAGGCCCATGCGGGTCAAGACGGACGCATCAGACAGAGCGGTAGGGGCCGTCCTTTTGCAGGAAGATCCGCAAGGGCACTGGAGGCCCTGCGCTTTCTACTCCCGGAAGCTCAGCAAGGCGGAACAGAACTACACCATCTGGGACAGGGAGTTGTTGGCCATTCACACGGCTTTCAAAGCGTGGCGGCACTTCCTCATAGGAGCCAAGCACACCGTGCAGGTCCACACAGACCACAAGAACTTAGAGTATTGGCGCACGGCGAAGCTCCAGAGCCAGAGGCACATGCGCTGGGTGGAATTCTTCGCGGATTTCGACTTCCGAATAGAGTACATCCCGGGGGACTCCAATGTCATAGCCGATGCGCTCTCAAGGAAACCGCAATATCTCGAGGAAGTGGCAACAGTAGCAGCCAAGCACATTTTCGCACCGCAGGCGTGGGCGTGCGCTTCAGTCGCCGTCGACCTGGACGCAGTGCGACGCGCGTTGCAGACGGATCAGTTTGCACAATCCAAGATGGAAGAGCTGTGCAGAGGTACAACGAGAGACGACGAGTTCCAGATACGCGACGGGCTGTTAACTCGCAAGGGTGCCCTCTACGTGCCAGGGGACGATCTCCGCGCAAAGGTTCTGCAGCAGTTGCACGACGCACCCAGCGCGGGCCATTTCGGCAAGGAGAAGACAGCGGAACTGGTAGCCAGGGACTTTTGGTGGCCCCAAATGCGAGGAGAGGTCGCGGATTACGTCGCCAGATGTGACACCTGTCAAAGGTCCAAGCCAGTGCACCAGAAGCCAGCCGGACTATTGGAACCGCTGGAGACGCCACTGCAACCATGGGAGCGGGTAGCGCTGGACTTTGTTACTGATCTGCCCAGCTCCCGAGGCAAGACAGCAGTTCTGGTGGTTGTGGACATGTTCACCAAGATGGCGCACTTCATTCCTTGCGCGAAGGTGGCGACAGCGGAACAGACCGCCAAACTCTTCATCGACCACGTGTTCAAGGTGCATGGGCTGCCACAGTCCATTCTGTCCGACAGGGGGCGCCAGTTTGTTTCCAGTTTCTGGCAGAAGCTCCTAGGTATCCTGCACGTCAAAATCAACCTATCGTCGGCGAGACATCCGCAGACCAACGGCCAAGCAGAGAGGGTCAACGCTATCATGCAGCAGTACCTGAGATGTTACGCCAATCAGCGACCCGCAGCTTGGGTGGATTACCTGCCGATGGCTGAGTTTGCCTACAACAACACGAAGCACGTGTCGACGGGGGTGACGCCGTTCTTTGCTAACAATGGACGACATCCCAGAACCTTCCCGGGGCTCGTAACGACGGGGGAGGGGGCGCCGCAGGGGCCCGACCATTTCGCAGCAGAACTGCAAGAGGTGCACGAGGAGCTGCGGAGACATTTGGAGCTAGCTAAACAAGCCTATAAGGTGCAGGCGGACAAACACAGGAGGGCGGGAGAAGACATCCAGGTGGGGGACTGGGTATGGTTAGCGGCCCAAGCGGTGCCGGCCAAGTCGTTAGCTAAGAAGAAGCTAGGACACAGGCAGCTAGGGCCATACCAAGTTGAGGCCAGGATCAATCCCGTAGCGTTTCGACTGGCCCTCCCCGAATGTTCCAGAATGCACCCGGTCTTTCATAGGTCGGTGCTCACCCCCTACAAGGCCCCACACAGATTTCAGGAGTCAGGGACGGCACCAGAACCACGCAGAGAGTCACCCAAGACGGGGAGGTCACCTAGGGCCGAACCAATCAACGAGGTCACAGAGATTCTGGACTCGAGATGGGGGGAAGAGGGAGTAGAATATTTTCTCGCCAGAGAGGGTACCCCAGCCAGCGCCAACAGTTGGGTGCCAGACTACGCTTTGGACGAGCCTCTTCTCAAGGACGAGTTCCATGCCCTTTTCCCACACAGGCCCATGCCAGCAGAGTACTTTGATGACTGGCTTTTTACGCCCACACTTTCAGCCAGCACTTTCCGGGGGTTTTCTTCCACGGAGGAGGGAACGCCAGAGTCGAGCCCCCCCAGGGGATCGTGCTTGGGGGTGGAGACGGAACCCTCTTATTGGTGGGACGAGCAACCAGAGGAGGACTGGCACAGGAGGTGGAGGGAGGGGCCTTGGCCAACAGCACCGGACGAAGTAACAATGGGAGAGGAGACCGAGAACACCTTGGGAGACGACCCTGAGTTCGAGCACACATACACTGAGCTGGAAGCAGAGGAGATCGAAGTAGACGAACTGTATCCAGCATCTACCCCCGCAGAGACGCGGCTCCCAAAACCTGCGCCCGACGGGCGGGAGGAGGGAAGGGGGGGCTTCGAGGGGGGGATGGATGTCAGGGGTTCAGGGAGAGAGGCACAGATGAGGGAGGAGACTGAGAGCGAGGGGGAAGAATCCAGGAACGAGGAGGAAGAGGATGACAATGACTTGAGGGCTTCCATGAGTCTCTCAAGTGAATCGGAGGATTCCCAAAAGGGGGCGCCCCTGGTCAGGCCAAGGGGAGCCACAGGGGGGAGTCGTCAGGAGCAGGGGAGCAGCAGGGAAACCCCGAGTGGGAGTGGGAGATCGGGGCCGGCTTCCCAGCCGGAACGGAGTGAAGAGGGTGGAGTTCCCAGTGTGATACACGGAGCAGAGCAGGAAGCAGAGAGGGGAAGGAGATCGGGGCAAGACGTCCTGCCGGAAGGGGCGGAGAGTAGTACAGAGAGTAGTATAACTGTCAAGAGGAAGGTCAGGGGTAGCGAACGCGCGCCAAGTTCAAATGTGGAGGCGCGCGGAAATGCGGAGAGCCCGGAGGAGGAGCCTGGTCCCAAAGCACGGAGGAGGGGGGAGCAGGCGTCTGGGGACTCAGCGTCAGGGGAAAGCAGGAGGGAAGGAACCCAGGGGGGCAGAAAGACCCTGCGGAAAAGGAAGGACAGGAAGAGGTGGACTAGCACAAGCCTCTTAAACTGGTGTAGAGGCGGGACTGATTCAGAGGGGACTTCAGCGGTCTAAGCGTAACAGACGTGGGGCTGCGCGCCTCGGCTGTGGAACAAACAATGTACTTCAATAAAGACTTTTGTAAATAAAGTGGACTTGGCGTTGGTCTCTTGTGAGCTGGGACCTGAGGCGGCCCTGACACATATGAATACCTTCTAGGATAAATTATTGTACCCAACTTCCACCCCTGCCAGCTGGACAGGCTTCCCAGTCATTCACTTTCATGTTAATTAAGCTGGAAATCCATAAAACCTGGAATGAAGGTACAGCTATGTACCCTAGTCTTGTCTCAAAGTGTTTGGGGCATTTTAAAAAATAATAAATAAATGTATTTGATACTAGTATCAACACATAAAAGTTAAAACCTTCATATGAAGGTAACATTTCTCTAAGATAAATATGTTTTCAAAAGGCAGAATATGAGGTTTGACCAGGGCTTTTTTCCAGCTAGAACTCAGTTCCAACACCTTTCAGGTGGGCACCATTGTTTTTCTAAGAGAACAAGGGAGGTGTTCACAGTGAGTTCCAGCAGCTCTTTTTCTAGAAAAATAGCAATGGGTTTAACCATTCAAATTGTTCATAGCTCAGTGACAAAGAGTTGCTTATAAAACAGCTACTGAACTCCATATTTCATTAACATGTTCAAATAAACCTGAAAGCTGTGAGTTTCACTAATAAAATTATTTCCCAGAAGTTCCCCAGCCATCCTTGTTTCAAAGGTATCTTCTTATGTACCCATTGACAATATAACCCCCCCCAATCATTCAGTTTGTACAAACTTCACTCACACTCACACACTACATACGCTATGCTTCTGTTATAAATTCATAGAAAATCAACCATACATCGGATTTGCACTGTTCCACTTTTATTTTACTCCATGAAGGAAAGACTACAAAATGAGGAAGGTTTGATACAGGGCACCATAATCCCTTCACCACACCAGCACATCCACCCAGTTGCTATGCCAACCCTGATGGTCCTAGACAGAAGACCATCAAGATCACAAAGAACTTGCATATGGGAGTGGATTCAGCATGGACTGGAACAAAGGAAAATAATCAACTCTTCCCTCTGGGGGCAGGAAACTGCAAAGTCCCCTCTGTCACCTGGAAAATGACTCATGGGGAGGGGGAGAAGGGAACCAGCCAGGTGACAGGACACTCAGGTTACCACCACCACCCCTCCCTCAACCCCTCCTTTCTGTGATGTATGCATGATGTTTCTGGGGGTGGGCTTGACCTACAGGATGGGAATTTCAAAAGTTTTTATAAGGCCTTGCACACCATTTTTCTGTGTCTTTCCTCTCTCCTGCAAGTGAGGGGAGCACCCTGTTGCAACAGTTCAATAAATAACAGTTCAAACAAAGCCTACAGGCTGCTGTTTTGCTCCAAGTTATCCTGGTTGGTGTCTTTGTTTTTTTGTCCAAGGGAGCCCTCAGATTTTTCCGTTAACACAAACACATACAAGAAGTTCCACAGGTACATTAATTTTAATTGTATACTAGAAAACAGAGTCTCTACCTGTCGATTGCTGATCGTAAGTTTCTCCAGAAAGTGTCGAAGAACTGTAGAAGGATCTTCAATGAGACAGTTCCACAGGACTTGCTGAGCCACAGCACTCACTGCACAAGACAAAAGGAGAGGGCTAGTCTGGGCCCCATTTCAGGAAAAAGTAAATGTCACATGGCAATAACTAATGGTTCACATTTTTTTTTTAGCTAGGCCAGGTCCCACCTAGCCTTGTGAGTCTAAAATTGATACGGAAGGGGGGGCATGCCTTCCTTCACCCTTCTACCGGCCACCAGAGGGTCCGAGGCGATGACCTCAAGGGCTCCCAACCCCACGTGGACCCCTCAGCCCCCACACCGTTACACAAGCACCACACTCTACCCCAAGTCCCATAAATAAAGTGCCTCTCCTACACCGAACCGCTATTACGGGCGAAATAAGCCCAAATTCTTATGCCTCTTTCCCGCTCTATCTTTACTGTGGGTTGACCGTACGAAGCTGTATTCCCTATTCGTTTCAATGGCTGCGTTCCATCCAATCAGCACCATGCATTCGCTTTGCAGAGCTAGCTCAGCGAGCTCCTGCACGCCTCACTTAACCTCTCGACAAGCTACTGACGGCTCCCCGCTGGGAGAACAATGGAACCGAAACTTTTGAACTCATAAAAGTGTCAAATCTTGCTACAATGTATCTATTCTGTTTCCGATTTCAATTACCAATATAAAATGGACTAAAAGGGGCTAAAATCTTTAGAAATTCGTATAAAATCAACCACAACTCTGATTTCCTTGCTCTTGGTGCCGATTGGCTCAGTCTCTTCAGGACTCCATGACACCTCCCCTGCCTCCATGATCCCTCGAGCGAGGTGTCACGTACTCAGGAAGACCCTAATCCGGTCAAATCGCTCTGCCAAGCCTTTCCTCCGGGCAATGCCAGGTGACAGACCATGCATACATGGACCATTGTCTTCTCATCACCGGCACTCAGGAAGTGCTTATCTGCACATATCTCCAGCTCTGCATATCCCCCCTCCCTCCTCTATATGTTAATCTGGTGTAACCCAACCTCTCTTTAATGTATTCATGATGTAATCCGTGTAACCCAACCTCTCTTTAATGTATTCATGATGTAACTATGATGTATTTTGCACTGTATTCTGGGACATGGAGGGAAGTTTTAAAAGTTCATGTCACCCCTTGCCCGGGGTTCAATCTTGCCTTGAACCTGTTGCGCAATAAACTCGGATCTTCTGCAGCTTGCTCCTGTCTCCGGCTGAGCTCATTTTCTTCCGCAGGGACCCGCGGATTTAGTCCGACAAGCTGTGTGGCGGAGTAGCCCCGCACCCAGATTTTTACCGTAACAAAAATCAACTTGATTTTTTAGTTTACTTCTCTCTTCTGCACATAACCAATTCTTTTTTTAAAAAAATAATTTTTTATTAACTGGCCAATCACATCAAATTAAATCACATCATATAAATTCCAAATTACAAAGCCAAATTTTTAAATTTTGTTGGGGGAACCCATACTTCAAGATCCAAAGGGGGATTCAGATCATCTTCTTATTACTGCGTTAATGTCCAAATCAGTCCCAATCAGTCCAAACAAAGTTCATAATTCTATCCAGTCTTATCTTGGTGTTGCCACATCATATCTTGTTCATATAATTTCTCTTTTTCCTTTACGATCTCTTCTGTTAGTCTCCTTAAGCCGATAACAAGTATAATATTCCTGTGTGGATTTCCCGTTCCTCCACTAAGTCCAGATGGTTTCCATATATCTCCTTTGTAGATAACATCACTCTTTCCATCGTAAATTTTGGCATTTGTCGCTCTTAAGTCCCACCGAGAAGTTGATTCACGATATGTAAACAACTCTATTTCTCTCTTTCTCCTCCCAGACCCAAGAGCTCCAACAATGCCTCCCAAAATGGCGACGGCATTTTTTTTTTTGACTGCGTCACTCCAAAACTCTTAGCTTTCCAGCTTCATCTTGAAACATTGCTTTGGATCGAAAGTTTATCTCCACACAGCCTTAAATCCACAGCTTAAGTCCTTAATTTCTGACTCATTAGGGGAGGGGATTCTTGTTAAATCACATAGAAAAAGGAAAGGCAGGTTTTTTTCCCCCTCCCCCCTCAGTCATTTGTCATACCGTATCTTGACGTATCTTCTCATATTTTATTCTTGTCTTGTTATCAGAGATCTCTTCTGTCAGCAGTCTTTACTCCCCTTTTTCCTTGATGTATGTGCAATTAATCTCGTCCAAATTGTTTCTTTTAAAGATCATTGCAACCAGCGGCGCGAATCAGGGACGGCGTCAAGGAGTGCCGAAAATCCCACACGAGGGCTTTGTGCCTAGTGCCCCCACCCCCACAAATTCGGGGGTAGTATAGGGCACAGCAGGCAAGGGCCATCCCCACCACAATCCTGGTGGGGTTAAGGAGGCTAATTACCCCCATCATAGCTTCCAAATTACCTGGTGTGGGTCGGAGAGATGTTATTGTCAGCCATCTTCCGATGCGCCACCTAGTGGCCCCCCGCACATAACCAATTCTTTGTATTTATTTTAAATTATGAGCCATCTGATGGCAACTGTGTTTTTACCTTTCCATGCAAAACTTAAGTTGCTTCCCAATAAAGCTCTTTAGAACAGCTGAGGCATTGCTATTCTACAACTGCTTGAAGTGGAAGTTCCACATTTGCAGTGCAATTCTATACAGGTCTACTTGGAAATAAGTCCCACTAAATATAACAGAATTTACTTCTGTTATATAATACAGGACTGTTATGCTATATTAGGACTGCAGCCTTATAGTACTACATTATATAGTAATATCTTTGCTATGGCAATGATCCTTCTACAATATTTTACTTTTACTTAATTACTGCTTATTTAGTGAAATATGGAACCTGGAAATAGGAAACTTTTGAATACAGTAACAGTAGTCCTAAAAACTTCAAGGAGGCAAATGCATGCTCCAGTTACAGGAATCAAGGAGGCAAATGCATGCTCCAGTTACAACATGAGAAAATGATACTTTAAATGGCTGTTATGCCCTAACAAACCATTTATGGAACCAACCATGGGATTATATAAAATTTATTCCTGTAAATTGCTTCAATTATTTTGTAGAATGCAACAAATCAATTGACCTAATTCAGGCAATAAAACAAACCCCTCTGCCTATAACAGAAAGATAAGGATTTCTCTACCAGCTGGATACTGATTTTAAGTGCTAAAAGGAGGGTGAATGCTTTAAGAGTTTTAGGCTGCAATCCTACTTTCCAGATAGTCTCCTTTAAAAAAACAAACAAAAAAAACCCTTCCTTTTTGATATGGAGGAAAGCTAACAACATAAACACCACCAGAAAATAAAAAACTCCCCCCTCTTTTTTCCACTGGTGGGGGTGAGTGTGAGGGGAGAAAGAAGAGCTTTTCAATTCTTTGTTTTTGTGGGGGGGGGGGTTCCCTCATGGATTGTTAAAGGTAAAGGTACCCCTGCCCGTACGGGCCAGTCATGACCGACTCTGGGGTTGCGTGCTCATCTCGCTTAAGAGGCCGGGAGCCAGCGCTGTCCGCAGACACTTCCGGGTCACGTGGCCAGCGTGACGAAGCTGCTCTGGCGATCCAGCACCAGTGCAGCGCACGGAAACGCCGTTACCTTCCCGCTATAAAGCGGTACCTATTTATCTACTTGCACTTAGGGGTGCTTTCGAACTGCTAGGTGGGCAGGAGCTGGGACCGAACGACGGGAACTCACCCCGCCGCGGGGATTAGAACCGCCGACCATACGATCGGCAAGTCCTAGGCACTGAGGTTTTACCCACAGCGCCACCTGCGTCCCCCCTTGGATTGTTAGCAGGCTCTGAATCAATAGCTGAGCTCTAAGTGTAAACTGCGGGAAGTAGTGGAGGACAGAGGTGCCTGGCGTGCTCTGGTCCATGGGGTCACGAAGAGTCGGACACGACTAAACGACTAAACAACAACAACAACAAAGTGTAAAGATACCAGTGAAGCTGAAAAGAGTTTGCTGGTTTGTGTGAGGGCTTGTCCTCATTTCTTATTGGTTAGGAGGGAGAGAGCAAACAAAGCAGGAGATAAGGTGCCTGCAAATTATCTGTAAGGTGCCCCCTGGGAAGCTGTTAAGTCTCCCCCTTTTGTTCACCAGTATGTTGTCTTGTTGAAACACTTATCACGATGTTATTTCAATACCGGTATTCAACGATATGGCAATTTATCGCACAGCCCAAATTACTGCACTGTCACATTCATTTTAATTATTCTAAAAACCCTTAAAACTAAAACCACCTGCTACTCCGTCCTCCCGGACTTCTCCGTCTTCCATTAAGTGGACAATAGGGAGCACAGCTGCACAAATACATGCTGGGAAGACTGCCTGTGGGGGTTGGGGCACATGGTGATTTGGTGTGTGCTCCGTCGTGTGTTCCTCATCTAGGGGGAAAAACAAACAGATATAGTGTAAAGGGAGTCCCGCTTAATAATGAGTCTGTTTCCCATAAGAAAACATTGCAAATATGGAAACAGAAACACATTCCTAAACTGCAATCTAATCCAGCACTGACTGCAAGTTAATTCAAGCATTCAAAAAGGAGAAGGGAGTTTGAAAGCATGGCGAGATCTTAAGAGCCCCCACATACATAAATTATACATAAATATAATTGAAGCTTGTCACTCCTTCGACTGAAACCATAAACAGTGGTAGCTTGGTTTAAGAACAGCCCTGTTTACGAACTATTTGGTTTACGAACTCCGCAAAACTGGAAGTAGTGTCCCAGTTTGCAAACTTTACCTCGGTCTAAGAACGGAATCCGAACGGTGGAAGGGCACCGGCGGCTGGAGGCATCCTTAGGGAAAGCGCGCCTGGGTTTAAGAATGGTTTCGGTTTAAGAACGGACTTCCGGAACAGATTAAGTTCGTAAACCGAGGTACCACTGTACCTTAGATACCTGAAGGAGCATGATCTGCTATACAGACCTGCCAGTGTGTTAAGATCTATGAGAGAAGCCCTCATGGTAAGTTACCCTACTACATAGTAAACTGAGGGATGCCTTCTTGGTGACGGTGCATCAATTATGAAATTCCCTTCCCTGAAGGGAAATCCAGCTGTTTCTGACTCCTGTGAGGCTTAGGAACCAGCTAAAGAATCACACTTTTGCTTTGGCATTTGCAGGATATTTGGGCCTGTTTATTCTTATTATTTTAGTTTTTTTCTGACTGTTGAGAGTAATGTAATATATTGATTCCTCCTGTCTTACTACATACTACATTTTATATAAGCCACTCTGGGACTGCTATCACAATACACAATGGGTTTTAAATAAAATAAAAATAAATGAAATCCCTGATTCAAGCTATAAGCAAAGCCAAATGTATGTAACAGACAAAGCAGCTCCACCAGGCTCTTCCCTCCCATCACCTGTCACCTGACAGCACCCATTCCATCAGGCTGCAGTGATTGAGGGGAGGGATTGATGGGAAGCAGAGTCATTCCTTTGGCTCTGCTGAGAAACCAGCTCCATTGGGCTCCCTCTCTGCCGGAACCAGTCATGTACGGTAACTTTAACGACTGGTCCCTGAGATGGTTTGCATTTCCTCTGGGAGGAAGAAGGTATAAATGCTTTGAATAAATACATAATCAATGCAAGAAAGAATCTATGGCATTTAACAAGACGATCAATATCCAGTCTTAAACTGCATTACCTTCAGCACTGACTGCTGAACGCACTGACCAAACTGAGCCACGGCGGAAGGAGTAGTTCCTGTGAGATGTGCTGGAGGTGCAGGATGGGCTTACAGAGAGACGGCGGGACACCAGGTTGGCAACTTCTTCTACTGACAGAACAAATAGTAGATGTAAATTTTGGTTTCTAAATCCTAGTTCTATGCTGGTCTACTGGCCACAGTGATCCATGCGATGGTCACCTCCAGGCTTGACTACTGTAATTTGCTCTACGTGGGGCTGCCCTTGAAGCTGTCCCAGAAACTCCAGTGGGTGCAGAATGCTGCAGCGAGGCTCCTCACGGGGTCTCTGCCATGGGAGCATATTCACCCAGTGCTTTTCCAGCTGCACTGGCTCCCGGTGGAGTACAGGGTCAGATTTAAGGTGCTGCTTTTGACCTTTAAAGCCCTTCACAGCCTAGGACCCTCGTACCTACGGGACTGCCTCTCCCGGTATGCCCCACGGAGAGCCTCAAGGTCCATAAATAGCAACAACCTAGTGGTCCCAGGCCCTAAGGAAGTTAGATTAGCTTCAGCCAGAGCCAGGGCCTTTTCAACACTGGCTCTGGCCTGGTGGAACGCTCTGTCTCATGAGACCAGGGCCCTGCAGGATCTGATTTCTTTCCGCAGGGCCTGTAAAACAGAGTTGTTCTGCTTGGCCTTTGGCTTGGAGCCAATTTGATTCCCTCCCCCTCTTTCTTTTTTTCTTTTCCTTTCTCCTCCTGTGATGAGGCTACATTTTAATATTTTAATATTTTAATATTTTAATGTTGTATTTTAATTTTGTTTTTAAGTTGTATTCATTCAACTTGTTTTTCTTATTGCTTGTTAGCTGCCCTGAGCCTGGCCTTGGCTGGGGAGGGAAGGGTATAAATAAAAATTATTATTATTATTATTACTACTGTAATGACCTATCTCAACAGTGAAAAACTCAAGTCAGACTTTTATTCCAAGTTGTTAACAATTGTTAGTGAACTGAATGCTTTTTAAACAGCCAGACTGCACAGAGAGAAGAAACACCATGGTGCACCTATAGCAGCAAAACCAGATGCCTTCATCTGCCCCAGCTGCAACAAGACAAGCCTCGCTCTCCAAAGCAGGCACTGTAACTCTCCGAAGGTCTGACTTCAACCCTGGAGATAAATGGATGCCAGCTGGCAACAACAGCCAGGTGGTTCCCAATCCAGATCAAGATCGCACTGAGGACAGTTCTAATCCATGGCTTCTATTGGGATTGGGCACGGCTTCTATTTGCTTCAGGAGGAAACTCCCATTGTCACCATCTTCCATATAACACCCCCCTCAGTCCTCAAACAACTGAATCTGAGCTTCTCCTGTCTTCTTTTGGGGTTATGCAGTTTCCTGGAGTGTCAATCCTGTCAAGGCTGCCAGAGGACCTTGCTGCCAACCCTGAATATTTAAAGACTATTGTCATATGCTACTTACTGACAAACACTTTCCCCACTCCATTTTTAATCAGCAAGGGCAATTACTTTAAGAAAAAAATAGCTACATCAATCCTGTTTAAAGTAATATAAGGAAATGAGGACTGTTCTAGTCTTCTTGTGCTCATTTCACAACAAACCTTGAAAAAGCTCTCAGTCTTTTTCAACAGGTGACAATGCTAATAAATTGTGCTCAAAGCAACAAAGTGCTGCTCCTACTTCTAATCATCAACTGAATCAACACTCGCTCCCTTGTAACCTTGAATTATCTCTACTGCAATAAAATCATGAGCAATTTATGAAGATTATATTACATCCCCAGTACATTTGCCTTATCAGACTCTAGTAATCACACCTTCCTCTTCCTGCTCCACGCTTGGGGAACAGCTGGGCTCATAGCAAGCTTCCTGGGTGATGGGGATAGCAGTGATCAGACTAGCTTCTCGGCCCAGACGTTTTTTCTCTTCTTCCTGCTGCAGATTCTTGAGAATATGTTCTGCTCGCTGATGAGAACGTGACACTGCCCGGGCTGAAAATGACTTCTGTAAGCAAACCATTGGACAGGAGGCAGGCTATGTGAATGAGTTTGCTTGGGTTTTATACAGCACATTTTCTATTTATCATCCATCCATCCATCCATCCATCCATCCACATTTTGCAGTTTATGAGCATTCTGATTAAGTTTTTAACATGGACATAATTTACTAACAACCTTAATAAACTATGGAAACATTCGAAGCAATTTGTTAATAGAGACTACGTACATCAGAAATGTAGCCAGTTCACACTATGTCTACTACATGTGGTATATTACAACAATCTAATGCAACTTTACATGGAAGTAGGCGCCATGATATTGGTTTATAAATCACAGCACTGCTGCCTGCATTGCATGCAGAGATGCTGTATTGTATTGTCTCCCATGATTGTTTGTTATGGGGTGGTTCAACTAGTACTTGTGAATGGTGCTTGCTGTCAAAGAGAGGTTCCAGGCTCAATTCAAGGTGAAGGTTATTCCTTCTATAAAGCCCTCTAGACCATTTTATCTCCTCCTATAAAGCCCTCTAGAGCATTTTATCACACTGACTGAAATCACTAAGGAATGCACCCAAAATGGGAAGAACTGGTTGTCGAAACAGAGGAAGGTTCTAGTCCCTTGGAATTCAGTTCCAAGTGAGGTTTGATACCGACTAACCCTAAAATATGTTTAAAACCAAATAAATGAGAATGTGTCAAACCTGTCCACTTTCCCTCACTGAGTACAGTGGTACCTTGGGTTACAGACGCTTCAGGTTACAGACGCTTCAGGTTACAGACTCCGTTAACCCAGAAATAGTACCTCAGGTTAAGAACTTTGCTTCAGGATGAGAACAGAGAGAACAGAAATCGTGCTCTGGCGGCGCGGCAGCAGCGGGAGGCCCCATTAGCTAAAGTGGTGCTTCAGGCAGGAACACTCCCTCTTCGTTCAAGAGGCTTTGCGTTGCTTTCGCTGAAGCCAAGAGAGTGAGAGGGATTGGTGCGCACTGATCCCTCTTGCTCTCCTGGCTTCAGGGATAGCCATGCAAAGCCTCTTGAGTGCAGCTGGAGCACTCCTGCCTCTTCGCTCAAGAGGTTTTGCATTGCTTTCTTGTTTTCCTCCACTAAAAACTAGGTGTGTCTTATGGTCAGGTGCGTCTTATAGAGCGAAAAATACAGTATATTTTTCCCCAATTTTTTTGTTTAAAATTGAGGGTCATCTTATACATGGAATGTTGCAATTATTTATTTCGGGCTCAAAAAGTAGGGGTTGTCTTATACATGGGGGCATCTTATACACGGAAAAATACGGTAATTGCTTTGTCTCCCCTCATTCTTGGATATTCATGGGAAGACCACAGATTTTCTCAAATACCCTTGCTTTTCTGAACAACTTCAGAAGATTTTGGGTGTTTATCCTCATGAAAAAGTATTTTTGCAAACTAATGCACATTATAGCAGCAGGCTACCTCAAGTGGTTTACCATGTGCATGGGTATATTGGTTCTGGGTTAACAGACACCCACAAAGATGTACGTACTGATGCAGATTTGGCCTCTGCTTTTTCAATGCTGCTTGTGCAATACTTTACATATATAGACACTCCCCATGGAATGGAACTTTCTCATGGAGAGGGAATTGTATGGAATTGGACATCTGGAGGACTGCTGTAAAAGTAAAATATTTTTATTTAGACCAATTTTTATTGATGAGCTCCATCCCTTTTTAGTAAAAGCATTTCTTGAATTCAATGTATTTATATTTTGTCCCTGGACTTGGTCTTCTTATTCAGGATAAAAAAGCTGCTTTAATGGCTGTGTTTTTATGGCTGTGTTACTAATCTAAGATCCCTAGAGCTATTTGTTTGCTTTTCTCCAACACTATTAATATTGTTGATATAATATTCTTATGAATAGTAATTCATGTATTGAGAGAATCATTAAAATGATTTTAAAAACCCACATCCCACATTATTTTTCATGTGCTATGAAATGTACTAAAAATGTATTTCAAAGACACTTAAGGAGTTATTTGGGTGCCTTTTACCTGCATGCCTTGTTTTGCAACTGTCTCACTCTTCCCACAAGCAGCGTATCATTCAAAAAATAAGGCCTACTTCAAGAAGATTTTTTACTTACGGATTGATCTTCATTAATTGGGTCCTGGACACTCCCACTACACTGTGGAACCCATGGAGGGTCGAACATGGGGACGGATGGCATTCCCAGAACTGGGGATGGGAGTGTGAAGTTAATGCTAGGTGGAGGAATCTAGGGGGAAAAGATCAAGACATCAAAATGGGGGAGAAAGAGACTCACATAATCAAAAGCTTCTATAGAAACAAATCCCTTCTATCTATACTAAATATTTCCTGTTTCAAGAATGAGGAAATGTTCCAGAGTCCAAATATGAAAGGCCATTTAATTTCATCCATGGGATAAAGATGGAATTACAAGCTTCATTATGAAACAAGAAGTGAAGGCTAATGATTCTTTAAACTAAGTAACCTATTGTTATGAAAGACATTTTATTTATTTATTTTTAGAAGAAAATAACCTCATATTTTTCCCTGTGTGGGATGTCAGCCTCACATAAACAACAAAGGGTTTTCCTGTGTGAGTTTCTTGTGGCTGTTTAGCTGCTCTCTCTGGGCAAAGGTCAGAGGGGGCAGGGCTTCTGTTGAGGTAGGTGATTAGCTGTGGGAGGAGCTTATCAGAGCTTTAGGGCAGCAGCTGAAGAAGGAACAAAAAGGGTTTTCTTGTGTGAGTTTCTTGTGGCTGATTAGCTGCTCTCTCTGGCCAAAGGTCAGAGGGGGCAGGGCTTCTGTTGAGGTAGGTGATTAGCTGTGGGAGGAGCTTATCAGAGCTTTAGGGCAGCAGCTGAAGAAGGAACAAAAAGGGTTTTCTTGTGTGAGTTTCTTGTGGCTGATTAGCTGCTCTCTCTGGGCAAAGGTCAGAGGGGGCAGGGCTTCTGTTGAGGTAGGTGATTAGCTGTGGGAGGAGCTTATCAGAGCTTTAGGGCAGCAGCTGAAGAAGGAACAAAAAGGGTTTTCTTGTGTGAGTTTCTTGTGGCTGATTAGCTGCTCTCTCTGGGCAAAGGTCAGAGGGGGCAGGGCTTCTGTTGAGGTAGGTGATTAGCTGTGGGAGGAGCTTATCAGAGCTTTAGGGCAGCAGCTGAAGAAGGAACAAAAAGGGTTTTCTTGTGTGAGTTTCTTGTGGCTGATTAGCTGCTCTCTCTGGGCAAAGGTCAGAGGGGGCAGGGCTTCTGTTGAGGTAGGTGATTAGCTGTGGGAGGAGCTTATCAGAGCTTTAGGGCAGCAGCTGAAGAAGGAACAAAAAGGGTTTTCTTGTGTGAGTTTCTTGTGGCTGTTTAGCTGCTCTCTCTGGGCAAAGGTCAGAGGGGGCAGGGCTTCTGTTGAGGTAGGTGATTAGCTGTGGGAGGAGCTTATCAGAGCTTTAGGGCAGCAGCTGAAGAAGGAACAAAAAGGGTTTTCTTGTGTGAGTTTCTTGTGGCTGTTTAGCTGCTCTCTCTGGGCAAAGGTCAGAGGGGGCAGGGCTTCTGTTGAGGTAGGTGATTAGCTGTGGGAGGAGCTTATCAGAGCTTTAGGGCAGCAGCTGAAGAAGGAACAAAAAGGGTTTTCTTGTGTGAGTTTCTTGTGGCTGATTAGCTGCTCTCTCTGGCCAAAGGTCAGAGGGGGCAGGGCTTCTGTTGAGGTAGGTGATTAGCTGTGGGAGGAGCTTATCAGAGCTTTAGGGCAGCAGCTGAAGAAGGAACAAAAAGGGTTTTCTTGTGTGAGTTTCTTGTGGCTGTTTAGCTGCTCTCTCTGGGCAAAGGTCAGAGGGGGCAGGGCTTCTGTTGAGGTAGGTGATTAGCTGTGGGAGGAGCTTATCAGAGCTTTAGGGCAGCAGCTGAAGAAGGAACAAAAAGGGTTTTCTTGTGTGAGTTTCTTGTGGCTGTTTAGCTGCTCTCTCTGGGCAAAGGTCAGAGGGGGCAGGGCTTCTGTTGAGGTAGGTGATTAGCTGTGGGAGGAGCTTATCAGAGCTTTAGGGCAGCAGCTGAAGAAGGAACAAAAAGGGTTTTCTTGTGTGAGTTTCTTGTGGCTGATTAGCTGCTCTCTCTGGGCAAAGGTCAGAGGGGGCAGGGCTTCTGTTGAGGTAGGTGATTAGCTGTGGGAGGAGCTTATCAGAGCTTTAGGGCAGCAGCTGAAGAAGGAACAAAAAGGGTTTTCTTGTGTGAGTTTCTTGTGGCTGATTAGCTGCTCTCTCTGGCCAAAGGTCAGAGGGGGCAGGGCTTCTGTTGAGGTAGGTGATTAGCTGTGGGAGGAGCTTATCAGAGCTTTAGGGCAGCAGCTGAAGAAGGAACAAAAAGGGTTTTCTTGTGTGAGTTTCTTGTGGCTGTTTAGCTGCTCTCTCTGGGCAAAGGTCAGAGGGGGCAGGGCTTCTGTTGAGGTAGGTGATTAGCTGTGGGAGGAGCTTATCAGAGCTTTAGGGCAGCAGCTGAAGAAGGAACAAAAAGGGTTTTCTTGTGTGAGTTTCTTGTGGCTGATTAGCTGCTCTCTCTGGGCAAAGGTCAGAGGGGGCAGGGCTTCTGTTGAGGTAGGTGATTAGCTGTGGGAGGAGCTTATCAGAGCTTTAGGGCAGCAGCTGAAGAAGGAACAAAAAGGGTTTTCTTGTGTGAGTTTCTTGTGGCTGATTAGCTGCTCTCTCTGGGCAAAGGTCAGAGGGGGCAGGGCTTCTGTTGAGGTAGGTGATTAGCTGTGGGAGGAGCTTATCAGAGTTTTAGGGCAGCAGCTGAAGAAGGAACAAAAAGGGTTTTCTTGTGTGAGTTTCTTGTGGCTGATTAGCTGCTCTCTCTGGGCAAAGGTCAGAGGGGGCAGGGCTTCTGTTGAGGTAGGTGATTAGCTGTGGGAGGAGCTTATCAGAGCTTTAGGGCAGCAGCTGAAGAAGGAACAAAAAGGGTTTTCTTGTGTGAGTTTCTTGTGGCTGTTTAGCTGCTCTCTCTGGGCAAAGGTCAGAGGGGGCAGGGCTTCTGTTGAGGTAGGTGATTAGCTGTGGGAGGAGCTTATCAGAGCTTTAGGGCAGCAGCTGAAGAAGGAACAAAAAGGGTTTTCTTGTGTGAGTTTCTTGTGGCTGATTAGCTGCTCTCTCTGGCAAAGGTCAGAGGGGGCAGGGCTTCTGTTGAGGTAGGTGATTAGCTGTGGGAGGAGCTTATCAGAGCTTTAGGGCAGCAGCTGAAGAAGGAACAAAAAGGGTTTTCTTGTGTGAGTTTCTTGTGGCTGTTTAGCTGCTCTCTCTGGGCAAAGGTCAGAGGGGGCAGGGCTTCTGTTGAGGTAGGTGATTAGCTGTGGGAGGAGCTTATCAGAGCTTTAGGGCAGCAGCTGAAGAAGGAACAAAAAGGGTTTTCTTGTGTGAGTTTCTTGTGGCTGATTAGCTGCTCTCTCTGGGCAAAGGTCAGAGGGGGCAGGGCTTCTGTTGAGGTAGGTGATTAGCTGTGGGAGGAGCTTATCAGAGCTTTAGGGCAGCAGCTGAAGAAGGAACAAAAAGGGTTTTCTTGTGTGAGTTTCTTGTGGCTGTTTAGCTGCTCTCTCTGGGCAAAGGTCAGAGGGGGCAGGGCTTCTGTTGAGGTAGGTGATTAGCTGTGGGAGGAGCTTATCAGAGCTTTAGGGCAGCAGCTGAAGAAGGAACAAAAAGGGTTTTCTTGTGTGAGTTTCTTGTGGCTGTTTAGCTGCTCTCTCTGGGCAAAGGTCAGAGGGGGCAGGGCTTCTGTTGAGGTAGGTGATTAGCTGTGGGAGGAGCTTATCAGAGCTTTAGGGCAGCAGCTGAAGAAGGAACAAAAAGGGTTTTCTTGTGTGAGTTTCTTGTGGCTGTTTAGCTGCTCTCTCTGGGCAAAGGTCAGAGGGGGCAGGGCTTCTGTTGAGGTAGGTGATTAGCTGTGGGAGGAGCTTATCAGAGCTTTAGGGCAGCAGCTGAAGAAGGAACAAAAAGGGTTTTCTTGTGTGAGTTTCTTGTGGCTGTTTAGCTGCTCTCTCTGGGCAAAGGTCAGAGGGGGCAGGGCTTCTGTTGAGGTAGGTGATTAGCTGTGGGAGGAGCTTATCAGAGCTTTAGGGCAGCAGCTGAAGAAGGAACAAAAAGGGTTTTCTTGTGTGAGTTTCTTGTGGCTGTTTAGCTGCTCTCTCTGGGCAAAGGTCAGAGGGGGCAGGGCTTCTGTTGAGGTAGGTGATTAGCTGTGGGAGGAGCTTATCAGAGCTTTAGGGCAGCAGCTGAAGAAGGAACAAAAAGGGTTTTCTTGTGTGAGTTTCTTGTGGCTGATTAGCTGCTCTCTCTGGGCAAAGGTCAGAGGGGGCAGGGCTTCTGTTGAGGTAGGTGATTAGCTGTGGGAGGAGCTTATCAGAGCTTTAGGGCAGCAGCTGAAGAAGGAACAAAAAGGGTTTTCTTGTGTGAGTTTCTTGTGGCTGTTTAGCTGCTCTCTCTGGCAAAGGTCAGAGGGGGCAGGGCTTCTGTTGAGGTAGGTGATTAGCTGTGGGAGGAGCTTATCAGAGCTTTAGGGCAGCAGCTGAAGAAGGAACAAAAAGGGTTTTCTTGTGTGAGTTTCTTGTGGCTGTTTAGCTGCTCTCTCTGGGCAAAGGTCAGAGGGGGCAGGGCTTCTGTTGAGGTAGGTGATTAGCTGTGGGAGGAGCTTATCAGAGCTTTAGGGCAGCAGCTGAAGAAGGAACAAAAAGGGTTTTCTTGTGTGAGTTTCTTGTGGCTGTTTAGCTGCTCTCTCTGGCAAAGGTCAGAGGGGGCAGGGCTTCTGTTGAGGTAGGTGATTAGCTGTGGGAGGAGCTTATCAGAGCTTTAGGGCAGCAGCTGAAGAAGGAACAAAAAGGGTTTTCTTGTGTGAGTTTCTTGTGGCTGTTTAGCTGCTCTCTCTGGGCAAAGGTCAGAGGGGGCAGGGCTTCTGTTGAGGTAGGTGATTAGCTGTGGGAGGAGCTTATCAGAGCTTTAGGGCAGCAGCTGAAGAAGGAACAAAAAGGGTTTTCTTGTGTGAGTTTCTTGTGGCTGTTTAGCTGCTCTCTCTGGGCAAAGGTCAGAGGGGGCAGGGCTTCTGTTGAGGTAGGTGATTAGCTGTGGGAGGAGCTTATCAGAGCTTTAGGGCAGCAGCTGAAGAAGGAACAAAAAGGGTTTTCTTGTGTGAGTTTCTTGTGGCTGTTTAGCTGCTCTCTCTGGGCAAAGGTCAGAGGGGGCAGGGCTTCTGTTGAGGTAGGTGATTAGCTGTGGGAGGAGCTTATCAG